TGAAATGCCTCGCCTACCTGTTAGGAAGTGAAATAATCTATTACTACTATAGTTAAGCTACGTTTGGAGGAAATCAAGATCTTAGGGGTATATTTGCGGGGGTGAGGGTGGGGGTCTTGTCCCAATTTCGACCGAAAAGATATTTTGCCTGCCCTCTGATTGTTAATACCTCCTATAATTGTAGCATTAATTCAATAGCAACAAATTCAAAAAATTAATCTGACACGAGAAGCATGCGAAAATATCTGACCCCGCCTATTACATGTAACACCCATCCCGCAGTTAAAATCAATCGTACCTAAAAGAAACCTGTAATGGTCATATGGACAAACAGAGTAGATGGAATTGGATGGGAAATTATAAACATGCAGAGATTACATGTCATAATCGTTTCTTGCAGAAATAAGAGCCATAATTGCTCAATCGACGTAAGCAGTCTTTTCCGGCAATTGGTGAAGTCTAATTTCGAGTGAAACATTCTCGAAGGGACAAAAAAGGCTAAAAAATAAAAAAGAAAATTAAATTCAATGTTTCTTTTCCTTAATTATTTCTTTGTTTTCAACAGTAAAACCATTCTGCCCCCCCCCTTTCGCCGATATACACCCCCGGGCTTGTTGGAAGCCCCCCCCCCCCCCAATTAAATTTCTTAGACTTTTTAATCTTGTATACCATACACATACACAGTCGCGATTTTTTTTTTTTATTTTTTTTATTTTTTTTTTTTTTTGTTTTCCCTCCAGATTTTTACACTTTTACAATGGTAAATTTTCATAAAATACCATCAAAACTGGGTGTTGTAGATTTGGGTAAGAGGGCAGGACGATCCACAAGTACATGTACATGTGCCACATGAAGACATTTCGATTTTTCTTAATGAAAGTGTCATGCACTGACTACATGTATTCCAGAATTAAAGGTATATGTAGAGTTCTTTATCTATTTGCCGAATTTCTTTTATTATACGACATGTAATCTGTTGTAAACTGCATTTCTCCGTGTAAACTTGTGATGCTCCTGAGGATAAAAATTTTTATAGTCGGTTAAAAAGCTCTACAAGGCTTAAATGTTAAATTGTTAAACTGCATTGCATGTATATATAATGCCGATATTAGATTTAAAAAAAAAATTATTTACAGAAATTACAATGATATTGCATTACTTGCAGAGTTGGCAAAATGTGCCGGATTACTGACATTTGCCGGTAGATTTCATACATGGCCGGCAAAAGTTGAAACCATGCCGGACATCGTATCCGGTAAATTTTGAAACACCAGTACCTAGAGAAATAAAAGTTATTCCCGTGTTTTAGGAATATATCACTGGAAAAAAAATCCCACTCGAACTTTTCAGGCATTGTATTGCTTTTATCGTTCAGACAAGGATTGAAAATATTGATGAAATTGCATAATTAATCAGAATGCATCAGTTTACATTTTCTAGAATCAAGACAAATGGAAAATCTGTTTAAAAAAATACTTTCTTATAATTTTCAGTAATAAATTGGTTAAATAATTGATAGAGGCCAAAATGGCGCGAAACTCAGAATGATGACGGAACGTCATAGTCATGCCGTTTTACTTGTGATGTAATGAGTTAACGGTAGGCCCAAAATAGGCCCTTGGCACTCAACGTAGTTTTTGAAAAAAGGCCCAAAATAGGCCCACGGCACAAAGAATGTTAAAGTTAAAGGTACATTTATTAAATCTGGAATTTTCCATGAATCCCGAGGACTGGAAATGAGAGGATTGCATGGATACTGACGATTCAGCTGGTTGTCAGGGGGGTGTGTCCCCATACCAAACCAGGTTATACAGAAATAATTTGTGTTCCTTTCTGGATATTAACCAATCAGAGGCTAGAATACAAACAAAATTAAATTATTCATTATTACTGAATAATAAGAAATAATTTAATTTTGTTTGTATTCTAGCCTCTGATTGGTTAATATCCAAAAAGGAACACAAATTATTTCTGTATAACCTGGTTTGGTATGGGGACACACCCCCCTGACAACCAGCTGAATCGTCTCTATCCATGCAATCCTCTCATTTACAGTCCTCGGGATTCATGGAAAATTCCAGATTTAATAAATGTACCTTTAACTTCAAACAGTAACTCGGATCTTACCACATGTAAACAAAAAACATGGCTGCTAGGACTATGTATCAGTTTTTACCTCCCCTCGCTTCCCATCACTTCCGTTACTAGGGTTGTATTATTGAGCGGCAAATTTGAACTAATAAAAAGCAACGAAATTTTACACCCAGAGTTGTTTAATGATTTTAGAATTAAATTATAAGGAATGACTCTAATTCTTGGCCAAATTATTCGAGTATAACCTGGTTTGGGTCAGTTTACGCTGTTTTATAATCCGCTTCGCGGATTATAAAGCGTAAACTGACCCAAACCAGGTTATCCTCGAATAATTTGGCCAAGAATTAGAGTCATTCCTAAAATAATCCTTAATCTTTTCACATCCAAATTTTATCAATTTAATCCTATTATGATTACTGTAAAGACGTTTTGTACATGTATAAAATTACTTTTCAATACTGACTTGTTTTAAAATATCTATAGCTGAGGCACCGCCCGTGAATAAAATACATTCTGGATCACAATATTATTTAATGCACTCGGAAAAGTAATTGGACAGGAAAGAGAAATTATTTAACGTAACTTTTTAAAAGTCTTTTTCTTTGCACGTTTACATAAATTTACCAACTTCCGCGGAATATTTGCAACTATTGTGACGCAATATTAGATAGGTATTTGACGTCACTGATACATCAATGGAAACGTGGTTTCAACCTGAATAATAAAGCAAATTTTAGACTAAATATTACGTTTGGAGGTGAAAATTAATTCCGTTTTTGAAAATAAACCAATTATTTTTGGTTGAAATATATTCTTTAGCGTATCAGTTCTAAATTTCTCACAGGGGTTCTGATAGTAAGATGTTTAGATGATTTCCCGATGCTACGGGAGATAACTCTTGCATCACAGAATTTCATAAAAATGACTGTCTATTTTGCAAGAAAACTACTATTGAAAATATTTTTCCCACTGATTTTATTTTTTAAATTGAAAGATGAAATATTTCTTGATTTAGTTTGGAGTGAATTATAGATCTGTTGAAAATGTATTAGAATTTACAGTTCTTTGTTTCCGATCTACATTCAATGGTTTATATAGGGCAATTCAAGAACACAAAACAAAACGATATTTTAGTAAATAAGCTATTTTCAAACAAATCTTTACTTACATTATTCCATATGGACTACATTAATATAATTTTCAATAAAATATCAAATATTCGTCACATTCGATGTGCCGCCTATTAATACAAAACTGCCTGGTTTTCTGGTGGACTGCCTCTTAAAACCAAGTTCTTCTAAAATACGGTTATAATAATGAGCCTTACAAACAAGTACACGTACATGACTACTGAATTGTTTTATAAAGTCTCTATTTTTTCCAAAGCCAATTTCTGGAAAGTCTTTGTTTTCTTGTGAAACTAACATTTTTTTTTTCGGCATCAAAGTCTACAGCCCAAAAGTTTAACCATTTCTTTATTTTTTTCAAGATCAGTTGTAAAAGATAATATAGTGGTAACCCTATCTGTGTCTATGATAGCACTTAAGGTTATCTATGCAACCAAATGATCCCTTTTAATATTTTTTCTTGGCTTTCTTCAATAGATTTGATAACTGTCTAGCCAATTGTAGAGATCATTTAAGTTTCATAGATAGTCCCAAAATAAGTGACATTAGTACACACTACCGAGCTCTAACCATTTTTCATTGACAAAAAACTATTTTTCAAAATGATTTATCACTTCACAAAGATATTCATGAAATTGACTCACATACTAGATCAGCTTTATCACAGAAAACACAATGGCAAATGTAAATATTGCCCATCATTTTTTTTTTCGTAGTTTTAGAGTCAACTCTCACTTCAACCCCTTATCTAGCTAAATATACCTGTAATTATGACCTTTAATTGTATTAAATTATATCTTCATTAAATATTTCAGCTAATTGGAAGCTAATTATAGTTAATTACTATTAACAATACGTACTTGAATTAGAATGACAGCATAATCAGTTAGTTAAATTTCTTTAAATGTACAATATCTAGCGAAATGAAGGAATTCACTTTTGAAACCACCACCCCCACCCCCACCCCCTTTAAAAAAAAAACAAAAACAAAAAAAAAAAAACGAGGAACTAACGTGAGAAATCAGAAATTTAACAAAACTACAACATTAAAAGTTCTGATCCACTTTTTTTGCCAACTTCATGTAGTAATGTACATAGTTAGGCCTATACTAAATGAACTTTTTTCTAGATATGGATCCCATATACCAGGTACCACAATCTGGCTTAAAGTTGATTTACAAATCAATTGTGTGGTCATAAAATTTCAGTGTTATTTTTGTATGAAATGGTATGTGTAATGTAATTCATCACTTTAACAAAGTAATGAAAGTAATTATCAAAGAAATATGTAATTGTAATGGAAAAATTTCAAAGTAATGATAGTTTAATGCATTACATTTCAAAGTAAACGACCCCGGGTTAGTAGTACTTTGAAGATGTAATAAGTTTCTGAAATCATTGGAAAGCAGACAATTGATCATTAGGAATGTTGATTCTGAATAACAAATAAGCCGAATATTAGCTACAAATGGTTTATATGAATCCAGTCGTTAAACGTGTATGTCTCATAGAACGATGTTTGAATTCAATGATGTTTGTTGATCTTGTTGTCTGAACATTTATACTAGAACAGTCTGAATTACTGATATAAAATCCCTTTTTTCATTCAGTCAAAATAAATTTAAATGTTTGCCTTAAAGGTACCCTGCACATCTGATTGAGATGTGTATGCAATACATGACAATGCAGCTGGTGTCGGACAGTCTATGGCAAATGCTACAACTATACGGCACAATAAATACGTCGGAAAAAAGGCATTTCTGAACATTTGACAAAAATGTATGAGGAGCCTGTACGCGTTTTAGCATTTGCTACCATACTAATTCTAAAAATATTTTCTTCTTCTGCAACCCAAATAGAAAGGCAAGTAAATGCTTTTATGCAATGTAATGAAACACATAACAAAGAAATTCAGAGAAGTTTAACGGAGCTTGGAAAGAAAATAGACAAATTATCAAATTCCTTCGGTGAGTATGTTTTTGTTTTGGCTTTCTATAGCTTTATGTCATGGAATATTTTGAATAAATATGTTTAAGTAAATTCCAATTTAACCTATATTATGACCATTTATAAAGGATGGAGAAATAAGTGCATTCGGTTAATCTAAAAAATGAATAAACAAGCATTAAACGACAACATTCGGATATTGGGTATTTCTCTAACAGCCAATACATTCATAACACTTAGAAGACAAAGAATTTATACTTAAATTGACAGACTGTAATACATGTATTTGCCTTACACATAGCCTTTATAACTATCAGATTAATTAATTAATTTTTTCCATCATGTACCTGTAGTCTTGTTAAAATACAGATACTATAGTAACCTTTCTTAATTCTTAATTGGGTAATACACTATACATGTCAATTTATTAAGAAATTTACAGATCGTTCATAATTTGATATTTTAATTGATTTGCCAAATTATTATATATTATATTTTTCATTCAATTCAAGGACAGACGTATAAACTGGAGGATAGGAGATTCTTTAACGCCGCCTATGGTAAAAAGGTCACCCAAAGCTCCGATTATGATAAGCAACACTATTTAGCTACATCCGTAACCAATGGGTTGCTTTTAGATTTTTCCCACACTAAAAAAGAAAATAACCCATGGCTGCTGATAGATCTTGGAACAGACTTCTATGTGTTTGAAGTCGAAATATACAATGTCGACAAAGTGGTACAATGCTGCGGTATACATTTTTGTTATTAATATAATTCATTAAACATGCATATGTTAAAATTGACGAAATATCGTAGAAAGTTATCTTTGAACAAAATATTTTTTATGTAAGCTATATTGTTTTTTAATTATCATTGTGCAGACTACAGATGTTGTTAGTGATGGAAAATATAATCATTTCAAAACCTGTACATGTATTGATTTGTATAATAAGTTTTTTATTATAGCAAATCGCTTTCGTGATGCGAATATCAGTGTTGGGTCTTCATATATAACTATGGAACTTTGTGGGCATTTCGAGGGACCCGGAGAGGACAAAGAACGCATCGTAGTGCGTTGTCCTCTTGTGAAAAGGGTTAGATACGTCAAAATCCAGATTGTCAAAGGCACCGACAACTATCTTCATCTGGCTGAGGTTCAAGTATGGGCAACCAATGTGTTGTGAATGTAAATCTTGCATTACATAAAAAACATTATTATCCTTCTCAATTTTTTAATTTAGCCTAACACACAATTGTTTAATCAGATTGCAATTCGATGCAATTCCAAGTCAATTGTACTATGCATGTTTAATTTTTTGAACTGATAGACACAACAACCTGAGGAAATGGATTCAAGGTGCAATCCAATAATTAATCCAGAACAACAGATTGCTGATACTCTACGGCAAACAATAAATTAATTGTTGCGTTAATGAAATGAAATGTAGTCTGGGTGATGTAAATAATACGTTTTAATAGCAAAAGTCAATAAAATCTAAATGTATGACTTTTTAAGACTTTACACAACCATTCCTCGTGATTAATTAAAGAAATGCTCACATACGGACACACACAAACTTTTTGGTAACTCGGAATAATTCAGAGTAAAATTTTGTAAATTTTTGATAATGGAATGTCCAGTACATTCAATATTCACGTCCGGGATTGTCCACGGCGGTTCTCAAACCAACCCACTCACACAACATGTGGCTTTCACTCAAACTTCGGACACTCTTTGAGGCAGAGGACTGACACTAATTCCTTCAATAAATAGTGAGTGACAATTTCCTTTTTACTGTGTAAACATCAATTGTTAGATAAATAATTTTAAGCATATGTCAAAATTAAGCATTAAAATTAATTCTTTTTATAAAATCAAATTCTGTTATTTTGTAAATTAAATTTGTAAAATTTACTGTGTGACACTACTATTGGCACTAACTGTCTCTGCTCCTCTGTTAGTCGACTTTTTATATTCTTATTCATAAAATTCTATATGAGAATAAAAAAAAACTTCTTTTCGACATTTAGATGGAGTGACAACGTTTTATCAAATAACAATACATTTTATAGTAACTTTCAATCATGCGAATCATGTCCACTCGATATACCCAGCTGAAACCGAAGAGTCTGCCAAATTTATTTCATATCTGGGAGTTTTACTGGCAAAAGACTTTAAAGAATAAACTGTATCATATAACTTCAGCTTTTTCATCGTCAGCTTCCCCTATTTATGTACGTAGTATTAATGTCGATTTTTTTCTGCAATAAATTGACGGCATTTTCATTTTCGGTGTTCGTTAAATTGAATAGTCTGTGTGACTTTTCGGCGCACTAAAAATCTTTTCTCTATGTTTTAGTCCCTAGTGATTGTAAACAGGTGAACTATTATATTAGGTAGGCAAACCCAAGCAAATTGAAAACTCGGGAATTGTTGTAAAGCATACCCAGCTGATACCAGAGCACTTGTTATTGAAAAATATATATATGTATTCACAGCTGGTATAAAACACAACGTGAAACATCGGAATTATTTATAAGTTTACTGTTTTATTGCCGCAACTGTCAAAAATACCATATTTCAAATGTGTGTGTCATACTGCATACATATTCTAACGGCTGTCCAGGCAATAAACAAGCGACCAGAAAAATCAAAATCTTTGTGTGTGTGTGTGTGTGTGTTTTTTTAGATCCCTTGTTTATTGTAACGGCGAATATTATTTATATATCCACTATAAAATAATAAATATCATATATACTTGCATGTTAAAAATAAACAATTAAACAATATTCACCAAATCTAAGTACGTTTAATTTTATTGATGTACTGAAGAAGAAAACGGGGGAAACGGTCGTGTTTTTCAATAACAGAAACATGCCAAGGGGTACAGGGATCAAATCAACTCCTGCCAGTCCTGGAACAGATTTTATTTGCAAGAGCATTTTACGGTTTACCAACACTCACAATCATTTAACAAGGTATTGCGTCGTCCCACTTATTCACATAAAAAAAAAAAAAAGCTCAGTAAGCACAACTTTTTTGCCCGTTTTCTTTCTTTCTTGGAAATCTTCCACGTTTTCGGCAATACATTTGAGAATGTGGGCGGACCTATAAAAAATAAGCCAATCAGAATCTTTGTACATGTTGGATTTTGCAATTGTATGTCAGTCAGATTCAATTGTATTTCAGTCGGATTCAACAGTGTCGTCATTCAACGCATCACTATTTCGGTCGTTGTGTATACTTTCAAGCAAAATTTGCGATAGTACGATCATTTTTTTAAATTACAGGTACTATCAAATAAGCTGATATTTCAGTTCTTTTAACAATCTCATTTAGTATCAACAATTTTCCAAATTCTATGTTCGTTATACTAGTAATAACCTTGTTTGCACATACAACCTATCGTGAGGTTGTATTTTGACAGAATAGAAGTGGAAAACAATACGGTAGTTTTAATTTCACTATGTTCTCTATCAAATTTTTCGTCAGCATTATACCTTCGTGAATATTGTCGGCTAATCAATGTAGTATTCATATATCAGATACGTGCCATACACTTTTAAGCCCTGTTTTTCTATTCTATAAAAGTAGAATAATTAGATTCAACTAATTGGAGAGCGATAGATAACATTGAAATGATACCGAAGGGAGAATGTAGATTAAACATTGAAACATTTACTGCTGTTCAGCAAATAGCGCAACATTTTAAAAATGTAGCAAATTAGCAAGGTAAAGTAATTTTTACAGTTTAACACAATACCACTGTCGAAATTGGCATAAATTCTGAAAGCTGTACTGTATGTTGTGCAAGAAATATTTCAAGACAAGTGGTGACATCCATTCTAAATCCCTTAATTCACTTTTCATTGCTAACAACAACAACATGTACTAGCATTTGAATCGTCTTTGTGTCCCCAAGTTTCTATGAATGTTCTAAATTCAAATGTATTTACTATTATATTGATTGATACAACTGAATCAATAGCATTCGAAAAACCTTGCGAACACAAAGAGGATTCAAATGCATGAGTTTCCCTCTCCTTTGACTTTCTGATCTATGGATTGGAACCTATATCTCTCTGTCTCGGACTATTTCGCTGACAAATCCAACCTGGCCTTCTGATTTCAAACGCATAGTGAGCAGCTAATCATGGTGGAAGGGGATACATGTACAATGCTTCAAAATTTCAACAGCACAATCAGCTTAAAATTGCTGGTACACTTTCAATACTGTATTGATATAAACAATCTTGAAATTTTACAGTACTCAAATCGAAAATATGCATTTTCCTTTTCTCTATTAATGTAAAACCATCAGAAATATCTTAATTTGATTGTTCAAATAACGCCGGTTGCCATCCACTCTGTCGTGATGTAAACTGTTAAAATTTTAATAGAACTAACTTTTATGCATGCACAACCTATATATGTTAAAAGTGCACAAATGCTGTTGGTAGATTAGACCAAAAGAAATTAAAGTTCATTTTTCTGATATAGTGAAGAGAGCTGATAACCATTATATGCATATGTTACATTTTCCCTATCGAATCGTTATTGAATACATCAGTAGAACCGCTCTCATTTTTTAACAATACTGATCATTGTTCATGAGAAAACCTTCCGTGTTTGAGTGGTATGGATTTCTTAATTTTTCGATACTGATTTATTCAAAACAAAGTCAACAATTTCAGAACGATAAAGTGTATTAAAAAAAGATCGTCATGCAATGTTTGCATCAATAAGGATTTATTTTTTTAAAAATCCGTATAAGTTTCCGGGAAACATTTAGCTATCATATTTTCATTGAATGACGGTGAAGATGCCACTAACATTCTATTTTGTACTGCAGCTGTTTTTTCCAATTGTTGAATTGCAAAATATCACTAACAAGTAAGTTAAATTTTCATTCATTTATTTTTTCTCAAATTTTAATTTCAATTTTTTTAAAGAAAAAGATACCCGTTTCTCTTTTTTGTATGCCATTATTTGTTTATTATTTCAAAAGAGCTACAATTCTCTTCAAATCAAAAAAAAAAAAAAAATTGACGGAAAATGTTTATGCATGCCTTCCTGACCTGTAAATGTTAAAAAAATGTTTTACTTTTTTTTAATTAGTGGAAACGGTGAGGTTTTAGACGAGGAACTGGCATTTTAATTAACATTGGTAAAAGATAAATATGTTTAATTAATATTTATTTTAGGCAGAAAATAATAGATGAATTACTGATTTCCCTATCGAATCGTTATTGAATACATCAGTAGAACCGCTCTCATTTTTTAACAATACTGATCATTGTTCATGAGAAAACCTTCCGTGTTTGAGTGGTATGGATTTCTTAATTTTTCGATACTGATTTATTCAAAACAAAGTCAACAATTTCAGAACGATAAAGTGTATTAAAAAAAGATCGTCATGCAATGTTTGCATCAATAAGGATTTATTTTTTTAAAAATCCGTATAAGTTTCCGGGAAACATTTAGCTATCATATTTTCATTGAATGACGGTGAAGATGCCACTAACATTCTATTTTGTACTGCAGCTGTTTTTTCCAATTGTTGAATTGCAAAATATCACTAACAAGTAAGTTAAATTTTCATTCATTTATTTTTTCTCAAATTTTAATTTCAATTTTTTTAAAGAAAAAGATACCCGTTTCTCTTTTTTGTATGCCATTATTTGTTTATTATTTCAAAAGAGCTACAATTCTCTTCAAATCAAAAAAAAAAAAAAAATTTGACGGAAAATGTTTATGCATGCCTTCCTGACCTGTAAATGTTAAAAAAATGTTTTACTTTTTTTTAATTAGTGGAAACGGTGAGGTTTTAGACGAGGAACTGGCATTTTAATTAACATTGGTAAAAGATAAATATGTTTAATTAATATTTATTTTAGGCAGAAAATAATAGATGAATTACTGATAGACTATGATAAGGGGATATCACCAACTGAGGATGTGGGTAAGATTTTTTTTTCAAAGTTGTTGCACATGAACATTTCAAATTCTAACTTTTATTTCTATATGCCTTCATTCACGCTTTCAACTTTTAGGAAATGGCCCAGTGGTAGACTATGTACAATTATATATATTAAGTCTGGACTTCCCGGGAGACAAAACAATGGTTAGTACATGTATTAAGAATTCATGATATTGTTAATCGTAAAAGACACGGAAGAACTCGTTTCCCCTAAATACAGTATATGTATACATCATACATGTACATCGCTCTTTTTCCGCCAAACATTTCTTGTTTCCGCTATTACAATTAAAATCAATATTCAGAGAGGCTATTAATATATATATATACTAGATGAAATCCCGCGCAAGCGCGGGGAATTGAATTTATACACTACCGACAGAAAATATATTGTAGTTCTCTACTGACAGCCTACAGGCTTATAGCAGGAACAAATACTTTGTTCAAAATCCCGCATAATGTAGATTTACCTATCCAACCCCCCCCCCCCCCCCCCGTTTTTTGTTTTATTTTTTTTTTAACTTGAAAAATAGCAATTTCATTAATCGGCGTTTATTGTGAAACCTGTTATACTATGTTATGGATATTGTACTTCAGATGCTCTTATTTCATTTCCGTCAAGGATAAAAGCAACGAATATGCACATTTTACTAATAAATTGATTGGGGGGGGGGGGGGGTTAAAAATTCACAGGTACTTGGGTCTTGGTTTATAAATATGTTTGTACCTTATTGATATGTAAAAATATACTTTACTTTTTTTACCTATCAATAAGGTACATACATATTTATAAACCAAGAACCTGTGTAAAAATTAGCTTTTAACGCCCTATTTGATACAAAAGACTAAGCTCCAATAATGTAGCCCTTTCCGAACTGTGCATTGATTAAAGCGCAGAATTTTACATCTTTAATTGTATTTGAACAATACCTTATTCATTAATTTTCTCTTTTCATGTAAGCAAGTTTATTACGAAGTACAAATTGTACTTCGGGTTCGTTGCCACGATGCTCTCAGTAAGGAATATATACAAATTTTACCGAAAAATTTATTAGGAAAACCTACTACATACACGTATATGTAATAGTCTACCGATATAGAATTATATTCACAACTTATAGTGTTATCAGTGATTTACCATTATTTCAATTAAGACCATTTACACAAAAGCTTTTTTTATGGTCATGTAGCTATAATCGCCTCGTTTTTTTCTTAACATCGGGCTCGATGCTATATGATGTTCTAGAAGCTTCCGTCAATATAAAGATCGGTGAATGACGAAAATATTTTGCACATTTCCCTTTTTAGTCGGTTATCACAACTTATTTCTTTTATATCATTTAAATCGAATATTGATTGAATAATTCAGTGATGACGTATTATGTAATAAATGAACGATTGCTTGTTGTCAGTTTCATTAAAAATTGCCAGTAACTTAGATCCGCCAACCGGAAACGCCACCGTACTCACGTTTTAGCTATTTCATGGCTGTTTATAGAAAATGAAAGTAGACTTTTAATTCAATGTACGATATTTACTATGCGAGTGAAATCTAAATATAGTTTACGGACATCAGCATGTATCTAGTGTATTGTTAGGGGAGTAAGTAAGAACTCTGGTGCACCCGTTTCGGAGTTTATTTGCAAAATTTATTAATTTATATATATATATATATATATATATATATATATATATATATATATATATATATATATATATATATATATATATATATATATATACGAAATATGTTTAAATTATTATTATTATTATCTTCATAAAACTAACTATTTTATATTCCACTCATTTTGGCCATGTTTTCCTTTTGAACACTTTTTTAAAATTCAAATAAGATTTGTCTTATTCCTCTTTACAGTCTTACATACATGTACAATGATCAAACTTTTAATGGTGTTAATGATGGTACATGTACATTTCTGCCCGCTGTCTACAATTAATTTTAAACAATGTATGTAATGCTGACCGGGAAATTATTGATATATTATTCATTGGGACCTTCAAAACTTTCTTTGCTTTTTTCCAGATTGACCGACCATAGTTCTTTGATTTTGGCATTCAGTTTAATATAATTTTTTTAATTATGCTGAGATATTTAATATATCAACAGATGTGGGGATTAATTTATAAATATTACATTCAGAGGGTTCCTAGTGATGTTGCAATGTAATAAACTTCTCCTTTAATACACAGAAGAGCACTCCAAATCTATTTGATAAAGAATCAAATAACAGTTTTTAAATGCCAAAAAATGAATAGCTTCAAATTTAGTAGTTCATTAATTTGATGTTACTAGCACAAAGAATTATCTTCAAAGAAATGCATATTTTCTCATGATTTATTTAATCTTAAAAATTTACAGTAACCTTAGTCAATGAAAAATATTTTTAGCCATATTTTTATTTTTCACAAAATACTTATATAAACTATAGATAGACTATAATCTTTTGTATATATCTAAAGATTCAGAATACGTCTACTTCATAATTACTGTAAATCACATTTTATTCGCGAGAACTTTATTGTTACATAATATACGCGAGACCGTTTGCCCACGAAGGTTTCATTCTTCCCTATATATTTGCCCAATTGAAGATTATATACAACAATAACCGAAATTAATGAAAATTTTCTCGCTTTTAAATACACATATGTACCAAATAACTACCACGGAAATTTGGCAATTTACAGCATGTTTTATATCCATTAGGTCTTTAAATCAACATTCTTATTTTCTCTCTTATGCAGAAATCTTAAAGATTTTAAGAATGCTTACAATCTTTTACTAATTGTTAAATTTTAGGATTTCGAGATGAGCTTCTTCTTGCGACAGCGGTGGAAAGATTCGCGACTAACATATAATATAAGTGGAGTAACCGTTCTTGAACTAGACCAATATGCCATTGACGCCGTCTGGGTGCCAGACATTTACTTCCTAAATGAAAAATCAGCTAAGTTCCACAACGTATTTGTTCCAAACAGAATGCTCAATATATTGCCTGAAGGTGAATTGTTACATAGCATAAGGTAATTTATACCATAAATACATTTTAATTGACACTTAAAGTATACTGTATTGTATCCATGCAGATATCAGTCAACCAACCCACTCAAATTCTTTTCTGCATTATTTTATAAGACTGGGTGATTTCTTCACGGTTAAATGCTTTTTCTTGATAAATTACTACATTCATGTATCCATTATTCCATATCTGTGAATACGTGAACTTGAAATCTCCATCTACAGCAAAAGGGAAAAAATATGTTTATGAAACACAGATGCCCTGGTATGACAGCTCAAGGCCAAGGTTAATTTTTTTTCAAATGTAGGGCAAACTCCAAGGTCAAAGGTTCAAAAGAAAATGCCGATACCCAAAGAAAGATCCTGTCACAAGGAATGCACATATGAAATACATGATAGCCTTAGTACCAAACATTCAGAAAAAATGGCCAAGGTTAAAGTTTTTTTTTTTAAATTAAGGTCATACTCTAAAGTCAATGTCATAAGGACAAAAATAATGGTACCAAAGAAAAGGTCTTGTCACAAGGAATGCATAAGTGAAATACATGTATGAATGCCCTAGCAAAACCCTCCAAAAATTATAAGCAAGGTTAAAGTTTTTTTTTTCAAATGTAGTTCAAACTCCAAGGTTAAGATCATGAAGTCACAAGAAATATACATGTCATATATGAAAATCCTGGACCATATGTTCATAAGTTATTGCCAAGGTTAATTTTTTTCAAAAAGAAAGTCAAACTCAAATGTCTATGTCGACAGGTAAAAAATATCGGTACCCAAAGAAAGGTCTGGGCACATGGTATACACACCTGAAATATAAAAGCCCTAGCTCCAATCGATCAAAATCCACAGCATCAACCATTCAAAAGTTATTAGGAAGGTTAAAGTTTTTGCATTTACATCGCTACACACAAATAATTTCCCGCTAGTTATCATTCTTTGAATTGTTACAAGAAATATGACAACTGTATAAAATCTTTCTATAAAAGAAACCAGAAAATATGCTTTACTTTTTTCAGAGTCACGGGAACATACTCGTGTCACATGGACCTGAGAAAGTATCCCCTTGACAAACAGATTTGCTCTTTAACAATTGAGAGTTGTAGGTATAGATAATCATTTATTGTTCTAAACTGTTTCACTAAGATATTCTTTGGAATCAATCGGAATTGGAAACTGTAAAAATCTAATTATACAATATACAATATAGTAATAAAAAAAAAAACTTAAAAAGAAAAAAACAAAACTTTATAGAAAAGAGTGTCTGAACTAGGCCATGAAAAAAGCTGCTAGCACCACTTCAATACTATAAAAAAAGGTTACATATTGCATGTCATCTACAGACAGTACTTATCGTTTTATGTTACTTTTTGTGAACTTTGACAAGGTTTTAATCCAGAATTGAGTATGTAGATTATAGTGTAAGTTGTATAACATCAAATACATTTTTAAAACAGATGGCCATAGTACTAAATATCTGGAGGTGCGCTGGACTTCTACACCTGCTCTTCTCAGTCCCAGCATAAAACTGACTCAGTTCACTGTAGACAGAACTGTACCTTACATATGTGATCGGCAATATATGGAATGTAAGTAAATATCTGTATTTGCAAAAATACAAGTAACTTCTAGTATATGTTATTTGATAGGGGAGACAATTAGGGGTAAGAAAGTTAAATCAATATTCAAGATTTTTTTTTAAAAAACTGCTATCACTAAGTTTGTCATATAATTCAGTTATCAACTCAGTTTTAGTCAATATTCTGTCGTGTTTTATGATATTACAGTTATACATTAATATAATTTTTATACATGCATCATTTATTTATTTTTAAAATACATGTAAAGGTTTTGTGCTAATTATCCCTAAAAACAATTAGTACAACTTGCAGATAACTACTCATGTATAGGACTTGACCTATACATGACAAGGATGAATGGGTTCTACTTTACTCACATGTACGTACCGTCCATTCTCATTGTCACACTCTCTTGGGTTTCCTTCTGGATCGATATCGAGGCAACAGCAGCCAGGACATCTCTGGGAATTCTAACCGTGTTAGCAATGACGACCCAGAATGAATTTATCAAAATCCAAAACGTTTCGTATATAACAGCCATGAACGTCTGGACAGCAGCGAGTCTCGCTTTCGTTTTTCTTGCCGTGATTGAATTTGCATATATAAATGTTCAAACCCGCCAGCATCTTAAAAAGACGCTGACCAAAGTATCCAGCACCTCTAATTCAAACAACTTAAATGACACAATAAAAAGTAACATTTCCATTCCTACCAATGAAACAAACGGTATACAGGTAGGATACATATTAGTCTCCAACAAGCGCCGCTACCTCCTCTTCATGATATTAAAATTATATGAAGATTAAGCATTATTAACTTATCGTCAAGTAATTCTAACATTAGTGGTGAAAGTATATTTCTTAGTTATTTTTCAATTATTTCAGGTTTCAGAGAAGAAATATACCCTTGATAAGATGGATATGGATAACAAGAGAGGGAGGACAGTGGATAGACACGCTCGTGTCGCATTCCCTTTGTGCTACATATTGTTTAACGTTGTGTACTGGTCTGTCTATTTTGTGTGGGAACCAGTTAAAGACAAGAATCATTGAAAGTACAAGTTTTAATAACATGTAGTTTATATAAACATGAATCTTGAAAATTTTTAAAAAGTCTTTGTGATGTTGAGAATAAGTGATGCAAGATCATTGTTCATTTATATACATATCTCGAGTAGGAGATTAAGGTCCGGTCATCTATGCAAGTTAAGGCTTAATATTTTAATTTGAAAGTTTGAATTTGTTAACTTTTTGCAAAACATTTACTGCACTCTCTAACTGAAAGAACACTAAAGTCTTCACTAAAGAGATATGGAAACGATAGACCATTACTTTGTCACGGAAGTGCTTTCCATATGCTTTTCGAAATTAAATAGAAAAAACAAGGATGAATCTTTCATTAATTTCTTTAATTAAGGATGGCAGTCGAGATATTTACATGTAATTATTTGAAAGAATATTTATTATAACATGCTGGAAAATGTAAAGAATTGATTAAAGAATCTAATAATTGATCAACTTACTTCTTCCGGCCAATAAGGAGGTACCTTTATTAACTCTCCCGAGCTGAAAGCTCAATTGAACTTTTCTCATCACTTTTTAGCTGTCATCCTTATATTATATTATATTATATTATATTATATTATATTATATTATATTATATTATTATATTATAGTGTAAAGGTCTGTAAACTTTTCACATTTTCGACTTCTTCTCAAGAACAAGTGGACCAATATCAACCAACTTGTCACAAAGTTGGGAGAAAGGGATTCGAGTTTATTCAAATGAAGGGTCACACCCTCTTTCGAGGGGAGATAATTTAAGATATAGTGTAAATTCAAATTTGTCCAAATCATGACCGGGGGGGGGGGGATAATATTTGGGCTATAATAGGTGATCAAAATTTTACATAGGAATATAATTATACGAAAAATTTTCTCAAGAACCACTTTGCCAGAAGAGTTGAAAATTACGTGAAAGCTTCATTACATATTGTACATTCAAGTTTGTTCAAATCATGACTCCTGGGGTTAGGCCACAATGGCAGATCAAAATTTTACATACGAAAAATCTTGCAAAACCTTTTTCTCAATAACGACAGAGGCATAATTAGTCATTTTGATATGAAAGCATCTTCAGGTAATGAAGATTCAGTTTTGTTCAAATCAACAACCCCCGCTGGTAGAGTGAGGCTACAAGGGACAATCAAAGTTTTACATAGGACTAATATAGAGGGAAAAAATCTTTCAAAATCTTCTTCTCATAAACCACTTTGGCAGAGGAGTTGAAACTTATGTGAAAGCTTCATTACATAGTGTACATTATTGTTTGCTCAAAGCATGACTCCTGGGGTTAGGGTGGGACCATAGTGGGCAATATAAGTGTTACAAAGGAATATGTAGGAAAAGAGCTTTTAAAAACTTCTTCTCAGGAAGGGCAAAGGCATGATTAGTCATATTTACATGTATGTGGGAAATATAAGCTTCCTTCGTATGCTTGGTTTCGAGGGCAACATGCGCTTTGTCGACCCCTCGAACCAAACTGTTTGCTTTCGGCTAGTGGGCGATATAAGTGTTACAAAGGAATATGCAGGAAAAGAGCTTTTAAAAACTTCTTCTCAGGAAGAGCAAAGGCATGATTAGTCATATTTACGTATGCTGCTTTCATGCAATGTTTCGCTGCAACTAAATAGATTGTCAAGGTTTCGATTGCTTCGGAAAATTTTGTCTACATTTGTTTCTTTTAAATCTTTAAAAAGGGATGCTGATTTGATATCTATCCTGGTTATACCATAAGAATGGAGCATTTTTGAGGTAGCTAAGATCTTTACAAGGTAGACGGTTTAACACTTTCTCGAAAGTATTTCAGGTTATTCTATACTAGCTTTTGTAAATCACTTGTCCACTTTGACTTTTCTCATAATGTTGTGCGGGAAATGATAACACCATCTGAGATTTCCACTTCGTTGTTGGTCTTAAAAAAACACTGTATGTAAAGCTCCTTACCTCGCCTTTTTGCTAGCTTGCGATTACTTTCAGTAGGATTTAGAATACTTCTTTTGGAGCCGCAATAAGGGATCAAAATCTTATATTTACATCCACTGAATGTTTTTTCCTTTATTTCTAAAGAAAACCATTGGCTTTTATCAGTTCAAGAACAACACTAGGCATATCATCTGTAGATATTTCTTGATCAGTGGCTGTTCCATCAATGAAACATACTATGACGTACATATCAATAATACAACAATTAATCTTTTTAATCCTACTTTAAATGATTATTTATACAGATATAAATATGAACAATAATGATAACTTTTGGAACATTTAAGACAAAATCTTTTTTTAAAATGAAAAATGTAGGGTCCAGGTTATCTAATATTGATAGGCCAGCATCCTTTTGGAGTGTAAATTCAATTTTGGTCAAATCCTTGCGCATAGGGGCAAAAGATGGCGTCAAAGTTTTACAAAGGAATACTAGTATATAGAGAAATTAATCGAAAATGTGATGAAAAACAATAATGCACAATTGGTCATTTCGATATATAACTATAATGATTCCAAAGTAGTGGAGTTTCAAGTTCCGTGGGGCCAGTGCCCCTTGGACAAGGGTGTGAACACAATAGGGGAAACTGACATAGGAATAAATAAGAAAAACCTTGAAGTATTTTATTCAAAGTAGAGCAGAGCAAATATCTCTTAGGTGAACGTTGTAAACCAAACGTTTCTTGTTTGTATACTTTTTAGTGTTTAATTTAATTAATCTTTTCTGTTTATGGAAAATATCGTTAACTCAACGTGTGCTTATCATAGCATATTTCTTACCCCCTACCCTATTATTTAATAATATTATCAATGAATAATACTAAAATTCAAAGAGTAGGTCACTATGACATAATTGTGAATAGACACATCTCAGGGCCCCAAGATGCATCAACTAGTAAGGTTTGGTGACCCTACAAATTTCTAGTGTCCAAACAAATGTTTTATGGATAACTGCTAGGGTGGTGCTCGGTTTGACACAACATAACACAACTCACTGTTAAGGAATTGGAATGGTCATTTATTTAACTAATAAATGACAAAGTATTATGCCAAGAAAACATATAAAACAGTTAAAAATACAACAAACTAAAAGCACAATACAATAATTCAATAGAGGGATTTGTGGCTTGTTAAAAATTCCAAAAATGCCACAACCCTAAAAATAGAACATAAAAAGTCATACACACAATATTGTGACTAGAATAAACCTAAAGTTATAAGACAAGATAATTTGGCAAATTGTATATATACAAAAAGTGTCAAAGATGGGGTATCTTCCGCAATACCCTACAGTGACTAGTCAACATTCTAAAAATACAACAATCCTAGAAAATAGTATACAGAAAATCATGTCGTAGTGTTGTGACTAAAATAAATTTAAAAAGGAGGAGGGGTGGGTGGTGGTAAAAAACTTCCACACATATTTGTAAACATTGAATGAAAAATGGCGAGTGACGCTATCCAGTTGCGCATGCGCAAGTACCGAAATCAGTATGTTATATTTATAGACAATGGCGGTAATTATGAACACAGTATCCATAAATGTTTTATGTTCATAAATATATATTTATGGATAACTGCTAGGGTGGTGCTCGGTTTGACACAACATAACACAACTCACTGTTAAGGAATTGGAATGGTCATTTATTTAACTAATAAATGAAATGTTTTTAATTATAAACTGTAAAATTCAGACGGTAGAGCACTTTAACCTGCTTTTTAGTTTACTTACATTGAGGAGCCAAGAGGCATCAACGTCGCAAGCTACGGGTTTTATGTCCATTTTATTTGTGGAAATTGAATGGACACAATATCCATGGCTTGCGATGATGAAGATGCATCAACTAACAAAGTTTGAAGATCCTAAGCCTTCAAGTACAAAATATTTAGCTAAAATATTTCGAAAAGGAATTTCAAATAAATTCAGAAAGTAGGTCACTGCAACATTTTTTTTTTATTTGACACACTCTGAGGCTCCAAGATGCATGAACTAACAAAGTTTGATGATCCTAAGCTTCACAGTATCCAAAATATGCATCTAAAACAATTTTGATGAATAGCTGCCAAACTCAAAAAGTAGGTCACTGTGGCACACACCAAACAATTTGCCATAGTAGTAATAAAAAAATCTAACAGGGTAAATAGTTTGTCCATAAGGTTCAAATGAAATTATTTCAAGATATGCATTTTCAAGGTACCCGTATGATAAACATAGCAACACCTAGTGCCATGAAGCTTGGATGTAGAAAAAAATAAAGTGCTAGTACAGGTCTCAGTGCTTCATATAATCAACTTATTTACTCCAGAATGTCAAGAAGTAACGGAGTTTGTTAATTTACTGTTTTCCATTTACTAATCTAATCAGTGTTTGGTACTGTGTAAGGAAACAGACCAGAATTATTAAACCAGGCCCCCTGCACTCTAAGACTACCAACTGAGCTATATGGCCAATTGCAACTGCCATCAAACCTGTTTGACTGCGATATTTCTCCCTCTTAATTTCTTTACTGCCATCAAACCTGTCTGACTGCGATATTTCTCCTTCTTATTTTCTTTACTTATATCAGTTTCAAGGCCTGGTCAGAGGATTTTAATTCAACTCTATGCCAACTGAGCTGTCTGGTCAATGGTGATTAAACGTGACTAACCACCACAGCTGTAATAATCTAATGGCAGAGTCACAATCAACAAACAATATTACAATACTTATACCAGTTAAATGATTATTTTTGTTATTAATCATGTTTGTCTGGATCTTTGCATTTAAGGTTCATAAACCCTCTGCTCGATCATATAAAAAGTTTCTTTAACTCTTATGATTTTCCAAAAGAAATGTATTTTTTAAGTAAAATACAAACAATTATAGCATAGCTTGCGGGGCAAAATTGGACAAAAAAGACACTTCAACTTGACAAGCTTATAAAAGAATAATAGACATTTATGTCATTAAGACTTATCTCTCTTATCAGAGTATTGATGAACCTTAAAAAATAAATAATTATTAGTTTTTCTTGTTAAAAATTTGTCAGGATAGTAAAGGTATTTGAATTGTTATTTCCAAGCTGCAAGATTTAAACAATAGATATTCTCAGTTAACAAATACACATATTCACATTGTAAAGAATTTATTACAATTCATTGATTTTACAGCATATTACAAAACAAATTGACAAGATGAATCCTGACTGTAAATTCCAGGCAACTTAGTAAATCATGTCACATGAAATCCTGCCATCATTGTGACAACCCAGTCCTGAAATTCTAACAAAGTAAATTCCAGGCAACTTATTGAAAATCATATTGACTATTTGAGTATATAATTAAGTATATAATGCTTATACACCATAGAATATAACTTCCTGATAAGAAACTTGTAAGAGTTATTCCCCTTTATACTCTTCATGAAAACTGACAGTGTACTAAATTTTAGCTACCTGCCACTACTTAAAGAACCAATACAGTGTTTACAAACATGATCATATGATGACAATAAATTGTTTCCTGACCATGTATGTTCAAATCCAGCCTTCTATAGAATCTAAATTTTTAACTTCAGTATTTAGCAAAATCAAAATTTCATTATCCATATAAATCTTAATTCAATCCCCAAGTTTTATATCTGAATTCTTGTACTAAACATGTCAATTATGTTCCAAATATATTTAGTGTCACAGCATTCCAAATTTCACTTTACACAGAAGTATATAAAAATCAATACAGCCTTTCTATGAATCCAATAATTCACAAATACTTTGCTTTAGTCTGTGTATTTTGATAGGTAAACTCAATTCAACACTTCACATTCTGAATTACAGATCCTCTAACTCTGGTGATGCTATGAATTTGGAATTAATAAATGAATGTGGATCTAGGCTCAATACATTGAAGTGTCTCGTTCCAACTTGGCCCCTCTTTAACTCATGTTTGTAAATATCTAGTTTGCTTCTGGCAATGTCAAAAAAGTTTGATTTAGGAACTTCATCTACATCTAATGAAGAGAGTCCATTGCACAAGTAATTGTGATTCAATACCATCCATACAGCTATAATAGCCGTCCAGTTTAACTGTAATGGTGAAAAAGTAGCCAATGGAAAATGTGTACTCCCAAGCAGAACATCATGTACAGAGTCATAGAAGTAGAAAATTAAACCCATCGGTGCAACACCAATACATGGGATCAGTGTATTGGAGTGATCTGGGTGAATCTGATTGTAGTAGAAGGAATGAACTATTGTTTTTGCTGCCACTTGTACTAGGCTACTTCCTGCCGAGTTATCGTTCATGTCAAATTGTCCCCGTTTCATGTCTTCTCTTGTGTCTTCTGAGGTTCCTCCGTCTGGTGTAACTATGATAACATCATCAGCCTCCATTATCAAATCAATGTTACCATGCCATACATCTGTATTACCTATAGTTAAAAAACTGCAAGTAATTTTTGATGCATTTTAGTGAATCTAAGATCATAATGAAGGTTATGACTTTGACTGCATTCGTTTAAATTTATGTATTGTAGTTTTACTTTTTTTTCGTATTAACATATTGCCACTTTATCAGTCTATTTGAAAATTTCAGATTTTGTGCACTTTAAATTTATTTCTATTAGTATTTTAATAACATGGACCCCATATATATGAGTTTGTTACATGATATCTGATTAAAAAAAAATATACCTATGCTTGTGTCACCATAGATGATTTTGCTGTGTTTCCTCCTGCAAGGACAAACTTTGGGTTGACTAGATTTCATTTGATCAACTGTGAAGTAGGATGATAGGGAGAGTAGAGAAAACAGATGAAAGACGAGAAGAATGATCAAATCAGTCTCATCACTGCAGTCCTTCATCTGTGACAGGGCGGCCTGGACTTCTGCAAAATATACCAATGACAAACTTACTTAATGTAGAACATATAATAAATTCAAGTCGGTAAAATACATCATGTATCTACTAATAAATAGGGAATGGAAATCTAGAGAAAGTACGTGTATCAGGCTTCATAAAGTTGTGTTTTACTGGCTATAGCTGATTCTTCAAGTTACATGAAAAACTGCAAAAACTGCAGTGTAAGGTATGTAAAATGGTGGGGATTGATTGTATGTTGTTTTATGTCCCATTTGAGATTTTTTCACTCATATAGAGACGTCACCATATATCGGTGAAGGGCTTCAAATTTTGACCTTTACTCGGCACTCAGGGCCATTGAGCAGTGAGGGATCTTTATCGTGCCAACGCCTGCCATGACACGGGAACTCGGTTTTTAAGGTCTCATCCGAAGGACCCGCAACTTTCACTTCAAAGTGCTGAGCACATGGCGAAGGAACAGTTGCTACCCATTTTTTATCAACTTAGGTCAGTCGCGGCCGAGATTCGAACTCACAACCTCCTGATCACGGAGCAAGCGCTCTACCGACTGAGCTACCGTGATCGGTAAAAAAAACAAGAGGCCCATGGGCCACATCGCTCACCTGAGCACACTGGATAGGCAAAAGCACAAATCAGTTCAGTATTGAAAAGATTCCGGGGGGGGGGGGGGGGGTGCTTGAATTTTAAACTACCTGATGATGCTTCCATGTCAAAATAACAAATGGCTTTGTTGTACTTGAGAAGATTTTTAAAAATTTTTCTGATATATTCCTTTGTAAAAATTTGATCCCCCCTTGTGGCTCCTCCCTATCCCAGGGGTCATCATTTGAACAAACTTGAATCTACACTACCTGAGGATGCTTCCATATCAATATGCTAACATAGCTTTTCTGTTCTTGAGAAGAAATATTTTTTCTATATGTTCTTATGTAACATTCGATCCTCCATTGTGGCCCCGCCCTACCCTCGGGGGTCATCATTTGAACAAACTTGAATCTACACTACCTGAGGATGCTTCCATATCAATATGCTAAACATAGCTTTTCTGTTCTTGAGAAGAAATATTTTTTCTATATGTTCTTATGTAACATTCGATCCTCCATTGTGGCCCCGCCCTACCCTCGGGGGTCATCATTTGAACAAACTTGAATCTACACTACCTGAAGATGCTTCCATATCAATATGACTAAACATAGCTTTTCTGTTCTTGAGAAGAAATATTTTTTCTATGTGTTCTTATGTAAAACTTTCTATCCCCCTATTGGTCCCCACCCTACCCTCGGGGGTCATCATTTGAACAAAATTGAATTTACACTACCTGATGATGCTTCCATATCAAAATGACTAATCATGGCTTCGCAGTTCTTCATCAGAAGAAATCTTCCTATATATTTCTATATAAAACTTTGATCCTCCATTGTGGCCCCACCCTACCCCCGGGGGTCATGATTTGAACAAACTTGAATCTACACTACCTGAGGATGCTTCCATATAAATATGACCAATCATGGCTTTGCTGTTCTTGAGAAGAAGATTTTTAAAGGTTTTTCCCATATATTTCTATGTAAAACTTTGATCCTCCTTTGGGGCCCCACTCTACCCCCAGGGGTCATGATTTGGACAAACTTGAATCTACACTACCTGAGGATGCTTCCATATAAATATGACCAATTAGGGCTTTGCTGTTATTGAGAAGAAGATTTTTAAAGATTTTTCCTATATATTTCTATGTAAAACTTTGATCCTCCATTGTGGCCCCGCCCTACCCCCGAGGGTCATGATTTGAAAAAACTTGAATCTACACTACCTGAGGATGCTTCCATATAAATATGACTCATTTTGGCTTTGCTGTTCTTGAGGAGAAGATTTTTAAAGGTTTTTCCCATATATTTCTATGTAAAACTTTGATCCTCCATTGTGGCCCCGCCCTACCCCCGGGGGTCATGATTTGAACAAACTTGAATCTACACTACCTGAGGATGCTTCCACATGAGTTTCATCTTCCCTGGCTTTGTGGTTCTTGAGAAGAAGATTTTTAAAAGATGCTATTAATTTTTCACTAATTCTTTATTATCTCCCCTTGAAAGAGGGCGTGGCCCTTCATTTGAACAATCTTGAATCCCCTTTACCCAAGGATACTTTGTGGCAAGTTTGGTTGAAATTGGCCCAGTGGTTCTTGAGAAGAAGTCGAAAATGTGAAGAGTTTACAGACAGACGGACAGACAGACGGACTACAGACAAAATGTGATCAGAAAAGCTCACTTGAGCCTTCAGCTCAGGTGAGCTAAAAATGGTGGGGAGGGGAAGCAATTAGCAATTAACATATTTGTGAGGAATGTTTTGTTTAGTTGACTTCACATAAACTGTCATGTGAACTCAATTTAGTTTGCATTAGTTTAATTTGCATTATTTTGCTTTGCATTAATTTACTGCAAATTAAATTTAAATTTTAATACACATTCCTGTGAACAGGACATAAGATTATCTTATTAAAGCCAAAGATGATTCTGTGATGTACAGATTTAAATATATGTATATACATGTATCATAGAGGGTCCTAAATCAGTGGGGTCCCTTAATTGGTCCTTTGGAGCTAGTGCATTTTTTTTAATGCAAGATCTGACTTCATCAATATATGATTAATAATTGGTAACATAGTTAATATATATAGTATGTGATATAAAATTTTTAAAAATCCTTAAGATAAATATGTTTAGACATGAGTCACATTACATTGTTTAAATAATTGAAACATACTAGATTTTTGTAAGGTAAAAAATTAAGATCAAAATTACCTATTAAATTTGAAATTTGTTGAAAGTATGTGATCAAAAACAAAACATAGACAAAAGTTTAAGATTTGTACTTAAAAGTTAATTGACTGTCATATGATGTTTAAAGAACTATATAAAATTTTAAGCGACTCCCAAAAGTTCATGTCTGTTAGACGATCTATGTGTATATTTTCAAAGGATAGTTGCATTTAGTCAGTAAATAAAATTACAGTAAATACAGGTTATAAACAGAAATGTTTGTCTGTAATCATGATTTCTGGCCAATATGTTGGAGTTTGTCATGTGAGCCCAGTGTATCTATACAAACACACTGGACATATTGCAGCTCCAAATGAAGTTTCCAGACATGATGATTATTTTATTCACTTCATCATTTTCAAATATAAAAATATATCACTGAAATATTCTGTAAATAATTGTTACTCTGTGTATTTTCATAATTTCTATATCAGTTGTATGTTTGGTGTTGAACTTATGATAATGAGAGTAAAAACTTTTGAAAACATCATACCACTGATTTCGGTACCTCACATATTTGCACGTCTCAATCAGAATGTCAGATATTTTGAAAAAAATATCTATTGTTAATTTTTTTAACCAAAATTCTGGTAATATTTTAATAAATCATAGAAACCTTTAAAGTAGAATTGCATTCATTTCCTAATCAGTGACTCTCGGGTTATCTTTAAAAAATTGTTTGTTTGCCCTCTCCAACTGACTCAGGCTAAAAATGACCCAACTCAAAACTTTTTTCCAACCTCCAGGAAGCAATTATATTTTTTATGTATTCTGGAAAATAGATCTTAAAATTTACTTTATTTAGCATTGAAATTGAAATTTTCTGAGAAAAAGAAATTGTTCGCCTACCTACCAACCCAATTTTTACATCATGGGTCGGGAGAGGGCAAAAAGTTGGCATCATCTATAGAAAATTTTATCATTCATTTCTTATTGGTTCCTCTGGAATACCTGTGTTTATCAAGAACTTGACAAGGCGTTCAAGAAGCATTTTCATTCGTCCATCATCAGGAATTTCCCTGTTTTTAACAAAATTGCGCAACATTTTGAAAGCCGGAATAAAGAAACCTGCAAACGCAAACTTTTTGTTTGTGGGTTTCAGTGTGCAAACTGCCTTTTTGAAGTTGCCGGGGTCGGCTGAATTGCTTGATCCGATCTCGTATGCCCCAAGGGCCGTCATTTCCATTTTGAATTTATCAACAGCATCTAGAAAAGACGAATGTCTGCTTAAAAAGTCAGTATGGAATGCATCAAATAACCCTTTTCTCTCGTTTTCAATCGTTTTCACACTGCACGCAGCCATTTTTAATGTCACTAAAATTCAGACGGGGTGTCGAACATTTCCGGAATATATTTGAAAAATGTTATCATTCCAGAAACAGCGTGCCAGTTTGCTTAATCTGTTTATTAGTGTTGTGGACACCCAGATTGAATTTTATCAGTTTATATTAAATAGAAAACCGTATTTTTTAAGACAAAAGATACATATAATTATGTATGACGTAAGGGAAAATTGGGGTAATGGGACACTTTTCATAAAAAAATTCCAAACTTCTCAAAATTAAGCTGTAAATTTTCATATTTCGCATAAACATTGCAATTTTGTATTTTTGTGTTAGATAACCGCAAGTTTTGTTTTGTTTTCATACTATAAAAATAAACAAACATCTTATATCTCGTTCACATTAACCCAGTTATACACCTATTGGGGTAACTTGGACAATTGTTCAATAACATTGCGCGATGGATATTTTGATAATAAGACTTAAGTAAACTTTAAAATTACTTTTAAAACAATCAAACAGCCAAATACCATTTTCAAAGATGATGATTATGCTTTGCCCAATAAGCTCAGTTCTGGAATATTACTGACTAAAGTATTGCAAATTTAGTAGTCATTCTCTTCTGCTAGCCAGATTTCACAATCCATATTTTTTCATCACAAAAACTGAAGAAAAATCTCCATTTAATTATGCACAAATTATTTTTTCAGATAAAATTACTTTATTAAAATCAAAAATGTGTAATACTCCTTGAACAAACGTCCAGTTCATTTTAAAACAACAATTTTTTTTAATTGTAAAGGAGACCGTAACAGATGATTTTGAAAATTATCATCTACAATGAAAATGTACATCATCTCATAGGTTTTACCCCTATCGGATAAGAAGTTTCGAGAATACTCGCGGACAAAAAAGTAACAGAGAGGAAATAAGGGAAAAAAAATTATAGTAATTTAAAATAATAATAATATTGATAATAAGAAACAGAGTCAAAACAATATGTTCCAAAACTTTGTTTGAGGAACATAATTTAACAATTTTGTGATCATCATATTTGAACGTATCAATCCCCTTTCCTAAACATCCAGTGCAAGACTCATGAAACCATAAATTACATCGCTCATCGTCGTCATAGTAATATCCATGGCAATAGCTGCAGAAATCTCCCCCAGCTTCCTTGCCTACGTTTCCTTTTTTTTTTTTTTTTTTTTTTTTTTTTTTTTTTTTTTTTTCCCTTTGCTTTTCTAACTTCTTTGATTTCCCCTTCTTTTTGCTTTTTCTTTATGTCTCGTTAATTCCTTACGGGCTTCCTTCTCAATTCCCTTTTGTTCCTTTTCGTTTTCTTTGTCTTCAATCTCCTTTATCACTTCATCTGCTGTGAGACATCGCACTGATGTGATTCTTCGAGATTTTTTCTCATTTTCGAATGAAGGGACCTTTAGAAGGCTAGAGAGAACATCGCCTGATGCACATGGAACTTTACGATCAACAGAACTAGACGACAGGCTGCATCTGCATCAATTTCAAAGTCGATGGATTCTTGTTCACATGATCTCTTTTCTTTAGGTTTACAGTCGCCCTCAGATTTGGTAATTGTGAAACTATAGACGGTCCAAACACCTCTTCGGGTATCGCTGAAGGATTAAATGGGAAAATTCCTGTGGCACGAAATGCGCTAGTAGCAATGAGCATCGTGCCGACTTTGTGATAGGCTATCGTGAACAGTCCACAGAAATCGTATCTTGTTATTATCCGACCCGGATTTTCTTTCAAGAACTGCATGCAAGCTTTATCATACTCTGTTTTCAGTGGTTTAAATAAGCACTTGTCAAGGGGCTGAAGCTCGCTGGTTGTATGAAGGGGAATGCAGAGAATATCAATGTCGTTTTCTTTTGCCAGCTTCAGTATTTCCAAGCTTATATGAGAAGAGTGACCAACCATAATCATCAGGACTGTAAGGAAGATATTTTATGAAATGATTTTTTTTAAAAACCAGTGCTCAAAAAGCTCTCTGTCGATGAATGAAGACTTACTGGTGGCAAATAGTGTGCCACGAGGGGCATTAGAAACTAAACCCTTGTTTAAGCGCTATGTCCCTTAAAAATAATCATGGGAGGGATGTACAATCCTGAGGCACTGGCGCAGATAACTACAGTGACATTTTCTCCTCGATCTCCACTTGTTGTGAATAGCTCGCACGCCTTTCAGCCCTACGATCTTCCCTGGTGTGTGGACAGTGTTAATTCCACTCTCATCAACGTTGTAAATTTGAGAACCTTTGTCAAATAGCTTTAACTTATTTATTGTATTTTCTAGCAACTGGAAGTAGGACGTCACCAAAAAAAAAGTTACAACAAGTAGATTATCCGTAAAATGTACTTTTTGATATATATACATGTACAAAGTAAATGGATTTAACTCAAGAGATGAATTTAATTCTTGAGAATTCATGAGGACATGAACTACGACGCTTCACGCCGGTGTAAAGACGAATAATGACCCCCGTAGAATTATGACCGGGGGTCATTTTCCGACGTCGAAAAATGACTCCCGGTCATTATTCGACGTAGAAAAATGACCCCCGGTCATTATTCGACGTAGAAAAATGACCCTTTCGCCCGTAGAAAAAGTGGCATCACCCTTAAAATCTGCATATCCTACGTGAAGAAAAATGACCCCCGTAGAATAATGACCTCTGGTAGATTTGATCAGAAATATATTTTTTTGGATTAAAAAAATTAAGAACTAATGAATCAAGAGGGCCAGGGATCAAAATGCTCACCTGAGGTAAATTGAAGATATAGCGATGATCTGTTGTTCTCATTTAATCTTCCAAATGTCTTTTATGGTGAATTAACAATGTACCTTATGTGGAAATGCTTTCATTCTGATTGACTTATGTATCATTGTTTAAAAAACAAACTTTTTTTATTTTCGCTTATACTATCCAGAGTCTAGAGAGAGAGAGAGAGAGAGTTATACTATCCAGTCCACAGAGAGAGAGAGATGTTTACAATGTCTATCTACCGGTTAATTAAGTTGCGTCCGAATGCCTTTTAAGCCCATGATTTAAATAGTGTACATACATGAAATTTTCGGACAAAAAGCAAAAGTGCCTTACAATTTTTAAAATAAGAATTACTTTTTAGAGACTTCTAAAGTAACCGCCGTCACGGTAGCTCAGTCGGTAAAGCGCTCGCCGTGAGTTCGAATCTCGGCCGCGACTGACCTGAGTTGATAAAAAAAAAAAATAGGTAGCAAATGTTCCTTCGCCAGGCGCTCGGCACTTTGAAGTGAAAGTTGCAGGTCCTTCGGATGAGACCTTAAAAACCGAGGCCCCGTGTCACGGCAGGCGTTAACACAATACATGTAAAGATCCCTCACTGCTCAATGGCCCTGAGTGCCGAGTAAAGGTCTAAATTTGAGGCCCTTCACCGGTATATGGTGACGTCTCTATATGAGCGAAAAATTCTCGAATTGGACGTAAAACAACATACGATCAATCAATCTAAAGTCAACCCGTTTGTTAATTGGCCATAAACGTCTATAAACAGTAAAATATCGAAATATGAAACAAATGATAAAAAGGATCAAGACTAGAATGTATGCTATTGCTAGCAAGAGTATGAGGGACCGTTTTGGTATTTACCGCCATTAAGTGATATCACCTATTCGAATGTGTGATATTATCTTTTTAGCTTTTGAATTTGTGATATCCCCTTCTCGAATAGGTGATACCACCTATTCAAATTAAGTATGAAATAACAACTGCTCCCAAGACTAAAGTGCATTCATTTACTCTATACAGGAAGTAAAAAGTTCAGTCTCTTTTCACTTAGATAATTATAACAGAGAGAAAGTATCCATAAATATAGCAAAACTGACTGCAAGTGAAATTTATATAACTTCACAGGAATTGAAAACAAATGGCGTTTTAAATGCCTTGGACTATAACGCAGGGAAAAAGGGCAGTCCGAATTTACTAATGGTCAAAAGAAATCTAGTTTTTCATATGCAAACAGGTTATTTTATGGTCTTTTTATATACATTGTAACTTGCATACATAATACATCGTAAACAGTGTCTCCTCTCCTCTTTGTGCCAAATAAATGATCTTACAGAGAATCTACAGTTTTTTGATCAATGCAATGCCGACATACTAGAGGGTATGTCTCATATTATGTGCGGTAAGTCCATAGAAACTTTATTATCTTTTTGTAAAAGTTTGTGCAAGCGCAATGAAATCAATTTTATCAATTTTGAATCACTGCTAAGGAAATAAGACTGCTCTTTGAAGGCGTTTTGAAAGTTCATCCTTTACTTTGCATTGAAGCCAGATCGTCTTGTTTTTTATGGAAGGGAATTGCCGCCAAAAGTCTATTTATCTTGCTTTTATTCTTATTCTGCCTACTTCTTTATTCTTTGATATTATTGTAACTATATGTCACTTTATTGTTTTCATATTCGTCTTTATTACATTTCACTTTGAACGTTTTTCATTCTTCATTTTGTCCTTACTTCTATGTTGCTTTATTTTTGTAAATTCGTTCTTCTTTCTTTTAAATTGATACAGTTTCTTTAATAAATAATTATGATCATCTCTATTACAAATGTAACTATATTCAGTCACGCAAATAATGAAGCGCATTCAACGAAGACGAATACAAGTAGTGTGAATTTAATGCGGCATTATAACGCTAGGTGGCAGGGTGTTCGATGCGAGTGTTGGTAAAATTAGGTACGCAACCCGGGCCGAGGTCATTCGAGATTTTTCAATTTTCTGCCTGAATACTTTATCAATCGAACCCAAATTTTCAAGTTATGTTAGTTATAGGTTTATTTGTATACGCGGTAAAATTGCCCCGAAATGCGCAATATTTTAGATTTTCTCGAAGAAAATTATTTGATTTCCAAGTTTTTGAAAGGCAGTATCAAGCTGACATTTTTAGTGGGTTTTTTTTTTTTTTCAAAAAGCTAATAAATTTATTATTAAATTATTTTAATGCATTATATTTTAACTATTTATAAGCATTTCTTCTTTCAAATGTGCTTTTGTTGCTTTAAATAACACGTTTTAAGAAAATCTGGGTCATTAAAACCAGACCAATGATGAAAACTCCAAAATAATTGTGTATTTTCTGTCACCTGAAAAAAATAAGTAACTCTATTCAAGTTATTTGTTGAATGATTGAATTTCAGTTTTATTGTTATAAAAAAAATATTAAATATTTTGATAATTACTAGTATACCCTTGTAAATTGAGTTATTTTTTAGGACCCCTATATATTCTTCCACTGAACTGACATTTCTTTATTTCAGGACAATAACTGTTCATGCACAGTCGCTTGATTCTGGGGACCGCTGGGCTAGTCTGGTTTCGGCCAAACCATAATGCTCTGCAAAGTAGTGCGGAACGTCATGGGTAGGCGTGGCCGGAACCAGGCTAGACCGGGGCATACTAGAAATTTTCCCCGGTTTTTATGAAAATATGTATTAATTTTTTGTATAGAAATAGCACTTTTCAATAAAGAAATAAATATCTGCAGTAAGCACACAGTGTATGACATCAGAATACCGGTAATTCAAAAAATTATTTTGTCAATGTCTCGTTTGGCAAAAAAAACGTAAAATGTCGGCTTGATATTGCCTACCCATCTTAGCAAATTGGAAATCAAAAATCGCCAAAAATAATCTAAAATATTGAGATTTTTTAAAATATAAATACATGAATATAAATATTGGCAATTTTTAAAGCGAATACAGATAAAACTTAGAGACGTAGCATTGTTTTTGAAAGGGGCAGCCAGAGAAAAAAAAAACTTAGCTAAAAATCTTTACAAGCAAAAAAAAAACAAACAAACAAACAAAAACAAACAAACAAACAACCCCACCGTTCACGGTAGCTCAGTCGGTAGAGCGCTCGCTCCGTGATCGGGAGGTCGTGAGTTCGAATCTCGGCCGCGACTGACCTAAGTCGATAAAAAATGGGTAGCAACTGTTCCTTCGCCATGCGCTCGGCACTTCGAAGTGAAAGTTGCGGGTCCTTCGGATGAGACCTTAAAAACCGAGGCCCCGTGCCACGGCAAGCGTTGGCACGATAAAGAACCCTCACTGCTCAATGGCCCTGAGTGCCGAGTAAAGGTCAAAATTTGAAGCCCTTCACCGGTATATGGTGACGTCTCTATATGAGTGAAAAATTCTTGAATGGGACTAAAACAATATACAATCAATCAATCAATCAACAAACAACCCCCCCCCCCAAAAAAAAAATACAATCAAACAAACAAACAAACAAAAAAAGAAAAATTCTTCAAACCCGAAAATTCTATTTGAGGGAGGGGGTCCAACTTCTTTCAGTACCAGATTTTACTCATACGTCACTACGTACCTGGCCCTTTTTTGACTAAACTACAACAAAAGTGGGAGGGGGTCAACCAGACTTTCATTGAACATTTTCAGTAGTAAAAAGTTATGGCTAGAAAAATGTTTGGTGGTCAGCCCCCCCCCCCCCGCTACCGGTGTCATATAGTGAGACTTACCCCATAGTGAGTCTTCCCCCCGGAAGTCTGGCTATATAGTGAGACTTCCCTTCCGGGGGGAATGACTATATAGTGAGCCTTCCGCCCTAAACGACCATAGTGGGACTTCCCCTTCCGTGTTTGGTCAGTTTCGATTTTATTTACATCGACGATGTATGTATTACATATTTAGGTAATGATCTTATATATATATATATATATATATATATATATATATATATATATATATATATATATATATATATATATATATATACATATATATAAAGAGGAATAGCTTCAAATGAATCAATATAAAAGTGCGAATTAAAAATTTATTGTGCACAGCAGATTATAGTATTGTTCCGAGACGATTCTTATCAAAAGAAAAAAGACATAATTAGTTTAACAGTAAAGAGGTCATTACCCGTAGAAACGTGCAGTCCACCTATGTTTACCTGTATCGTTAAGATTGATTGATTGTATGTTGTTTTACGTCCCATTCGAGAATTTTTCACTCATATAGAGACGTCACCGTATGCCGGTGAAGAGCTTCAAATTTAGACCGATACACGGCACTCAGGGCCATTGAGCAATGAGGGATCTTTATCGTGCCAACGCTTGCCGTGGCACGGGGCCTCGGTTTTTAAGGTCTCATCCGAAGGACCCGCAACTTTCACTTGAAAGTGCCGAGCGCATGGCGAAGGAACAGTTGCTACCCATTTTTTTTTATCGACTTAGGTCAGTCGCGGCCGAGGTTCGAACTCACGACCTCCCAATCACGGAGCGAGCGCTCTACCAACTGAGCTACCGTGAACGGTGCATGGTTAAGAAGTTTTAATTATAAAAATCACTATTAAAATAATTTAATTATTTATTCATATATTTATTAAATTATAAAAATCACTATTAAAATGTTTTAATTATTTATTCATATATTTATTTATTCATTCATATAGGATGGATAACTTTTATCCAAACACTGAAAACGTTAATATAAAAACATTGTTTTACAATAAAAAAAAATATTCGGAAACTAAATTAAAGGGGGAAGTTTCGCTATGAAGGGGGAAGACTGACTATATTGTGAGACTCCCCTGGAGAAGTCTCACTATATAGCTAGTCTTCCGGGGGAAGTCTAACCATCTAGGCAGCCTTCAGGGGGAACGACATCGGGTACATGTCTGAACCTATAACAAAAATATTTGAAAATTTGGGTTCGATTGATAAAGTATTAAGGCAGAAATTTGAAAAATCTCGAATAACCTCGGCCCGGGTTTGCGTACCTAATTTTATCAACACTCGCATCGAACACCCTGCCACCTAGCGTTATAATGCCGCATTAAATTCACACTACTTGTATTCGTCTTCGTTGAATGCGCTTCATGGTTTGAGTGACTGAATTTACATTTGTAATAGAGATGATCATAATTATTTATTAAAGAAACTGTATCAATTTAAAAGAAAGAAGAACGAATTTACAAAAATAAAGCAACATAGAAGTAAGGACAAAATGAAGAATGAAAAACGTTCAAAGTGAAATGTAATAAAGACGAATATGAAAACAATAAAGTGACATATAGTTACAATAATAACAAAGAATAAAGAAGTAGGCAGAATAAGAATAAAAGCAAGATAAATAGACTTTTGGCGGTAATTCCCTTCCATAGTTTTTCGCATTCATTTTTATGTTATAAAAACGCAAATAGGTCATATAACTAATTCAAATTCGTGATATAACCAATTCAAAACAAAAAAAACCCAATCCGAATAGGTGATATCACCTATTCGAATAGGTGATATCACCTATTCAACTCAAAAAGATGATATCACTTATTCAAAAAGGTGATATCACCTATTCATTTCCAATAGGTGATATCACCAATTCAAAAATTGATATCACCTATTCGAATAAGTGATATAACCTATTCGAATAGATGATATCACCTATTCCATTTGAATAAGTGATATCACCTTTTCAAACAGGTGATATCACCTATTCGAATAAGTGATATTACTTAATGGCAAAAAATACCAATGCTGCTCCTCATACAGTAGAAATACACAATGATCCATAAATGATCCTGTAAGGGAAGTTTTGTACCTCTGTGCGTTAATTCACTCGTTCGTTGTGAGAAAAAGTTTGTCCAATTTTTTCCACAGCAATGGAAACAGTTTTAAAAATCTTACATATAAATGTAAACGCATTTGTGAAGTTTCACAAAGATTTAACAAGCTAACCGTGAAAATATTAGTTGACAATTTTTCCCCATGACAACGGCGATCAGATTTAAAAATCAAAATGTTTAATGCACAACTAGAGTAACTGTTGTTTCATTACACGTTTCATTATTTTACAGGCCTCTAAGTGACCACTAAAATTTGGGCGCCAGCTGGCGCCTAATCAAAAAAAATTTAGTCGCCAATGCAAATTTTTAGTCGCCAGGCATTTTTTTAAAAAAAAAAGTTAATAGTAATCAATATAGGACGTTTGCAAAAAGGTGACCAAGAAAACACGTCTATTGCTAAAACTAATTTCCTCTTTTTTAAAATTTCTTTTCGCTTCTTCAGAAAAATAAAAAAAATGTTAAAAGTTCCGGAATTCGACGATCGCCAAGTCAATTTAAAATGGTCGCCAATTTGGCGACTTATGGAAAAATGTTCGGCGCAAATCAAAAATTTTAGGCGCCATGGCGACTAAATTAGTCGCCAATTAGAGCCCTGATTAAGTTTATCAAAGTCATGTCCGAGAAAATGTTCAGACAAAATAATACGTCTGGCGATAACAATATATCGTCCTGACTTTCCTTTTACCAATAGCCACTGTGACGTATCTATTGTGCAATTTTAATTTTGGGCTTACACAATAGGTCTAATAGAAAGAAACACATGCACTGTTTTTAAACAAATTTTAATTGTGTGTTCGTCTAGTATTACATGTAATTAGAAAAAACGTAAGAGAATCCAAACTTTGACATCAATCATCTCTTTTGAACTTTGTAACAATCTGTTCCGTTGGAGGTCATTTTTCAACGGGGGTCAATTTCTTATAGGTTGCACATATAAAAAACTGACCCCTAGGGTTCTTTTTCTACAAAAAATTAAATTTTTCTACGGCTAGGGAGTCATTTTTCGATGACCCCCCGGTCATTATTCTACGGGGGTCATTATTCGTCTTTACACCGGCATATTTCATGAAGCGCGTTACCGCTTCATGATAGATATGCAGGCATGAACCGTCATAGTTCATGTACCTCATGAATTCTCAAAAATTAAATTCATATCATATATTTACATTATTTTTCTGATGATTTGCTTCATATTTTTGTCATTCAACGATTATTTTTGAAAAAAATAATTTGCACTATTTTTGACATCAATCACACCACAATGGAAATATTCTTACTCCTATAGTACATGCAGTTCATGAGAACATGAACTTTTTATAATTTGCAAAGAATCTAAAGGAAAAATATTTGGAAATGTTAATATATCGAAATAAAACAATTAAGTATTGAATATTGTACCATTTTTATTCTAAAATGTCATGAAAAAAGAAACACAATATAGCTATACTGCTTCCGTGATAAGCAACAGCTGCAACACAATGGAATTTATACATGTAATGTATATGACCTACGTTTATTTACTATATATATATATATATATATATATATATATATATATATATATATATATATATATATATATATATATATATATATATATATATATATATATACAGGAGCCTAAGTTGATTCAAGAATTTGACAATTGTCTCAGTGTAGTATAAACGGTAAAATGTACATGCATCTCTTGACCGCGGTACCTACATGTAGGGACCATATTCTTTTTGATGTTCTCTTTTACATTCAGTCAACACACCCCTGTCAATGTATTCATACAATGTCCTAACAGTACTGCAGATACCAGGAGTATTCAAAGCAGCTTGACAACACTGGATTTGAAAAAAGACACCGTTTTAAAGAGAACTGGTAAGTTTTCTATATACTATATCTATAGTATGCTATAGCTAGTAGTTTCAAAAACTTAGGAGGGTTTAGGCAAATGGCAACGCAATTTCAAACTTCTAGACAAGTGCTAAATACGTATCCCCATTGTCGGACGATATCTTATTCTATATCAAAATATACTTTATTTTCAATATTTATATCTTTCCCCCCTTTTATGTGATTTGAAAAAAAAAATTAAGAACATATATTGTTGTTTACGAAATTAAATAAACAATCGAATATTGTCACTATTAATTCATCCCACACCTAAAATAGAATACATTTTCTTGGATCTCGCCTGATTTATTATTACTTTTATTTTATTTATATATTTTTTCCTTGTCAAATATCAATATTGTGTCTCATAGTATTAAAATGCATACCAACGGATATATAATTCAACATCTGGGGTTAATTTTTTTTTAGGTCTGATAAAAGGTATACAAAAAGCAAGTGAAAAGAAGTGGATTTCAACAATTAAATGCATTTTTAATTAAATTTCGGAGAAAAGGATAACATTCACCAACATTTTCTCGACTTTTATCCTTATTAAGCGGGGGGGGGGGGGTATAGTGATTGGGGTGTCCGTCTAGCTGTCTGTTCGTCCGTCTCTCTGCCCGTACGTCCGTCCGTTACGCTTTGGGGTATACATCAGATTATCCGCAACTCCTCTTATACCACTGAATAAAATTTATGAGACTTTCACAAAATTTTTGTTAAACAGTGCTATTGTACATCTCCTATTTTCCTTTTGATCGGACACATATTTCAGGTTTCCAATAGCAAATCATAGACACTGCCATTCTTTCTATAATATTGAGGGGTACACATCTCTTATCCGCAACTCTTCCTATACTACTGAATAAAATTTAATGATACTTTCACAAAATCTTTATTACATAGTGCCGTTATGCACATCTTATTTTATCTATCTATTTATCTTTTTATTTGATCAGACAATTATTTTGGGTCTCCCAAAGCAAGATATGGACTTTGCCATTATAAACATATGGGAGGCGGGGGTTATCATTCTGTGAGCTCAGTGCTCATAGTACCTTTAGTTTTTCTGTGTAAATTTGTTTATTATTTTCACTAGAGAAATTAAAATCACAGCCTTCATCCATGAGTGGCAAAAAATACTTCAATGCAGCATATAGTAAACGAGCCTCTCAGAGTTCTACCTATGGTAAAGACTACTCGACCCTCAAAGCTGTCAATGGGGCGCTTCATGATTTTTCGCATTCAAAGGCAGAAAATCACCCATGGATACTAATAGACCTTGGCAAAGACTTTTACGTTTTTGAAGTAGAGATCTACAATGTTGACAAGAAAGTACAATGTTGTGGTAAAAAAATGCTGTTTTAATAAAGAAAAAAAAATCAAATTCATTGTTGAATAAATATTAAGAAAAGTAAATTATATTAAACAGTTGTAGAAGCTTACATTTTAAAATGCCTTTAAAAACATTTCAGAGAGGTCATATTTATATATTTTAAAGATAAAACAGTCTTGGATTTAATTAATTCTCAACATTTCTTTTCCAGCAAATCGTTTTCATGACGCTGATATTAAAGCTGGCAGATCACTCGACTCAATGTTAACCTGTGGACATTTTGTTGGCCCAGGAAAGGACAAAGAGCGCATTATAATTCGCTGTAGAAAAATAACTGTGGCCAGATACGTCAAAATCCAAATAACATCGGGAACCAACAATTATCTTCACATAGCTGAGGTGCTAGTCTGGGCAACGGAAATGTAGCAAACATTTTCCATGCATGTGTTTTAAAAATATAGCTACAATTTTTATGATATCTGCATGTATGAAATAAAAATAAAAGACTTTATACAATTATATATATATATATATATATATATATATATATATATATATATATATATATATATATATATATATATATATATATATATATATATATCATACGTGTGATGGATACTACCTATAAGATAAACTTTTATCTATTTGTATGCTTTTATGAATATGTAATCCTTGAGTGCTCCATTAAAGCAGATTTAACCAAGAAATCGTGTCTTTATGATTTGAAATCGAAAAAGTTTACGCTGTAAATAACCATTATAGTTTGGGGCTGGCAATCATATCAGACTCTGTAGCATTTGTTACTTTTGCAATTAAAATTCTCCCTATGAGCTTACCACCGAAATCTTATTTCAATATTATTTTAATAATGAAGTCAGTATTCTATTGAATTTTCTGTACTACAGTGTATTGCTTTATATGAATGAGTAATTTAATGTGCTTGGGTAAAACAAATTATGAGTCTCCTATACTCACCAGATATGTAGCAATAAAATCTGTTAAAGCATTTTTTAAAAATATTTCATGCACCCAGAGAGGCATCAGTGCATATATAATCTCAGTGGCCAATGGTTTTGGGTATGCATGTTTTCTTTCATTTCACTGAACTAGCGTGATTTGTCATGGTTAATTGGTTTCAGACTTTTTAAGTCTGTTGCACTATGCTTTATCCCCTTGCTTTAAAAATCCTTCTTCTCTAAACTTTGTTAAACTTGGTTAATAGGAACCAAATTTGGTCACAACTGTCATTATTTGCATGCTTTATTAAAAAATACCAAAGATCAACAGGGTATACGAGTTATAAAAATAGATAAACTTCTTCAAATACAACTCCAATATTACTGGGTATTAGAACAATTGTTTTAAAATATAAAGGAAAAGACCTAATGAAAAAGGTTCATCTTTTAAAAAATTTAAGCAAATTTTACCAAGTTTATCAAAAACTTCTCAAATAGTTAATGCTTTTCTTCTAATAAGGAGAAAGTCTTCTTTGTATGGATTGCGCGAGCAATTTAACACATTACAAATAAACGTGTTCAGCAGAACACAAAAATAAGGTTCATTGTAACACAGTATTTTTTAAATTAAAAAAAAAAATACTGTACATATGGAGCGGCCCATTACCGCCTCCGATATCTATGGAATTCCATATATGACAGCCAACTGCTCACTGCTTACTGCCAACTGCCACTGCTCATAGATGATATTGCCTCTTTTGTTATCTTTTATATCTTTAATACGCATGCTTAATTGAATAAACCCTATGATAGATTACAATAATAACAAAAATTGGTGGATTCAGGAATTTTTAAACAGTGAAGGCAAGGGAGGAATAAATAGGAGGAAAGGGTATTCCCTCTTAAATACATCTGATTCCCACATTTCCTTGCATGCAAATAATTCAATGGATTTTTTGACCGGGGGGGATTAAAGGCTTATATACGTCAGAAAAAAATGGGGGGGGGACTTTTAGTAAGATCTTGAGTTACATTTGTTGGTATATGCATTTATATCAGAAATACTAATAAAAAGAATCATAAAGGCCTTTTACTCTATGTAAAAACATTTGATCTCAGGCAAGGAAAAGCAATTTCAGTGCTGGGGGGGGGGGGGCAACCCAACTTAATTCCCTTGACAAGGAATAAAAAAAAAATCACAGGCGTCTTTATTGAGGGAACACTACTGTATAGTATATGTTGGAAATTAGGTGGGTAACCCCCCATCCCCACCCCACCACGAATGTTTTTACAGATCTGACATTAGCCATTAAAACGATTTACATAAGACACATATAAAAATTCCCACACATAGGTACTTTTCCTAGGGTAAAATGAAAGAAATTACTAGATATTTTACACTAGGCAAAAGTTATGTTATTATATATAACTTTCAGTTATACCTATACCAACAAATGTTACTCAAGACCATTCTATAAGTTTGTTCTTTTATCGTATGTGACCCCCCTTTTCCCGCGTCTAAAAAATCTATCAAATTATTTGCCTGCAACGAAATGCAGAAATCAAATGTTTTGTTTTTAAGAAGAAATACTTCTTCTTCCGATTTACCCCTTCCTCGCCTTTACAGTTTAAAAATACCTGAATCCGCCCAATTTTGTTATTATTGTAAGAACTACGCACGCTAACTCTCGATTCCCGCCTACATTTTCCATCCATTTAATTCAATATAAATGGCAATTTGAACATTAAAACTTAATTGTTTGAATGCAAAGAAAAGTCATTAATATTAAGTACTAATTCTAAAAAAACAGTGGGAAAAAAAGTTAATTGCTCTTATTTACAACTCCTTTCATAAGGGGTAGAAAATTTTATCAATTGAAATCAGGCTGAAAACATCACCAGATGTTTAAATACTTATGAAAATGGATAAATGACTCTTAAATCTCACAGTATGTTTAATTTATGTAAAATTCAACATATGGGATTGATAAAGTACATTTTTCTGTTTGTTATCTAATTTAAAATTGTTTTTAATCTTCAAACACGTGCCCCCTCCCCCCTCCCCCGTGAGACAAAACTTTTGGAATGAACAAAAACTGAAAAAAGATTTGTTTTGAAAATAAATTTCCATTTTCCGTTAATTTCTGTAGTGAAAATTTTCTCATATTAAAAGACTTATCTCTCTTTGTTTTCCTAAATAAGTTATATGTTTTACATTCGCAGATCGGGGGGGGGGGGGGGTCCGGACCCCCCTGAATTTGAAAGAGTTATTTAATGTATATACTATACCAACTAAAACTAAAAAGTGACCTTGGACCCCCTTCGCCCCTACATATAAAAAACGCGGATCCGTGTTAAGTTGGTAAGTTGGTATGAAAAGTCATATGAAGCATAAGAAGTCAACCCCCTCCCCACGAAATATGTTTTTCAATTTTAGGAAAGGAGTTAACGTTTTTTTTTCTTTTCAAGAAATTTCTGGATTGGATTTTTTTTTACTGGGGTGGACCCCTCCTGGAAAAAAAATCCTGGATCCGCGCCTGGTTTTATGAAAATTCACATAAATATCAATATAAATATGAAAATTTATTCAAATATGTGTGGCAGTTGGCAGTAAGCAGTTAGCAGTTGGCAGTAAGCAATTGGATGTCGTATATGGAATTCCATAGATATCAAACTTACAGTTTTTTTTGTTTTTGTTTTTTTTGAAGAAGAAGAAGAAACTTTAAAAAGTAATATTCTACATGTGGAACGGCATGTTTCCGCACCCGATAAACAATCACACAGGAGATTAAACATGAAAATTTTTAAAAAGATACTGTACATGTGGAGTAGCCCGGCCATTACCGCCTCCGATATTAAACACACATAATTTTTTTTTTTTTTTTTTTTTTTTTTTTTTGGAAGAAGGAGAAGAAAATTTGAAAAAAAAAAATTCTATATATGTGGAGCGGCCTCTTTCCGCACCCGATGTAACACACACACAGAAGATTAAATATGAAAATTTTGAAAAAGATACTGGTCTTGTGGAGCTATCCATTACCTATTAGACTCACATTTTTTTTTAAGAAGGAGAAGAAGAAAATTTAAAAACTAATATTCTACCATGTGGAGCGGCCTGTTTATGTAAACTTGACCTTTAATTCTTCATTTGTGACACACTTTCTATAGTAAATCGTTCATCAAGTTAATACATTTATATTGTACATAAAGGGTGTAAAGAAAGTTCGTTCCATCATGAATGTTTTTTGAAAATTTCAAAGTAGTGTTAAACTGAAGAAATTAATTTTCAAGTCTGATAAAATCATAAGATTGTGTTTTCGATTTACAGCAATTAATATCTAGCAGGAAGTTACAAAACCTTATTAGTGGCAAGAATGAACTCCATGAAACTTCTCATTGAATTTCTTTTCGAGTATGAAAAAAAAAAGTGGAATGAACTTTCTACATGTATTATATATTACCCAACTACTCAAATTTCCCTAATGACTACATCACATGTAAATGCACTGTACGAATAATTCTTCCAGATCTGTCCAAAGTAGATTAGAATGTTATCAAACTGGAACACACATATAGTCTAGGAATGTCTACAAAATTCTTTATCATATTTCAATGTGAGTATTTCTTAGACGACTTAATTAATTGTTTACTGGACTAATAAGCTTTCGTATGTGATCTCATTGCAATAGAAAATGAAAACTTTACCTATTATTCTTAGTCTTCATCCAAATAGCAGTTTTACAAAAACCATTTTCCCTTAAAACTGACGACAATGGGAATTACTTTCTGTACGTCGATGGGAACTTGTGGCTGGGAAGTGCACCGACGTTTTTCCGAGACAGCGGTCAGCTTTTCTCTGCAGGAGATGGTTCGCTCAAGCTATTCTATACTGGGAACGAGGTAGGAGTCGACAAACTGGGGAATTTTTCTACCAGAGATTATCTGTACCGGGCTGGAAAGAAGGAAATGTTCGTATCTATTAGACATTACGACGACCCAAATTTCCTTGTTTTTGTGCAGGTAATTCTGTTTGCTTTTAAGAATGAAGCATACATTTTTTTTCTTCAAAATATATGAATCATTTAACCATTAACCATTTGTGTTTTATTGAATTTAAGTAAGTTCCATGAAGAAAATATATAATTAAAGATCATTGTTTGACATAAATTTTGAAAGAGAAAAAAGATTAATTTTATGAATTTATGTCTACTCTTTTCCAGAAACACGTTTAGAAAATAATTTATTCTTTTTATCATGTGATGCTGAAGAAAAATTCGTATTAACTGATTTTTATATCTTGGATTGTAAAAGAATTACACAGATGGAGGAAATGGTACAAAAGCAGAATCTTTTGATGAAATTATTTCTGGATTTCCGGGATTCCGAATTGAGGACGGTGTTGTTGACAGAGGTTACTTGTCATTTGGTGGATATATGTTAGGAGATACAAATAAAATCATCGGAAAGTAAGAATCACGAGTCCATTCTTTTGTTTGAATTTTACAACGTTTATCTTTTTAATGCTCAAAAAAGTTTCGATAGACATTAAAATGCACATGCGAAGTGGACATTTTTCGATGAATCATTTCTATAGATGGGGAAATAAGACGAAGGAAATTAGGGATGGTCTTACTGGAGGACCACTTGTTATTTTTGATAAGGAGGCTAACACTTTGATTATCTCCCCTTTAACTGAATTTATGGTAGCCTCGAACTGGCACGACAAGGAAGTCGGCGGAAACATCTACTGGGGCATTATGGGAGGTGTAGACACAGTTCCACACCATTATACCTACTTGACAATAGTGTATTACGCTAAAGGAATAAATAAGGTTTGGAACCTCTGTAAAGCCTTTGTTGCTCTTTACTTTCTGTAGTGAGTTCATTAAATAAGGTTTAGGACTTGTGTTTAGACCTTTCGCATTATTACATGACTGTGTTCTTTGAAAAAAAAATCAATTTAATTTGCAAAAGATATGTCATGGTAGTTGTTTCTAAAAAAAAAAAAAAAAGAATTAACGATTTTTTATATAGTTGATACCTTTTTAATTTGCATTATTAACAGGCCTTCGACGGATGGGGTAAAGCTTTGAAAAAAATGTATGGCAGTAAGGAGAACTCCTTGGCACAAGATCTTACCCTTCATAGAGCCGGATATTGGACAGACAACGGTAAACTAAAGATCTGAGATGGCATAATTTATAATCTGCAAGCATTGAAATCATAATGGAATGTAAAATGCCAGAATAAGGCGATTTCATACACCTAAGGTTCTAGAACTACGGGAAAACTTTTGTTCAATTTCAGGAGCATATTACTATTACAAGACAGAGCCAATGAAGACTTATGAAGAAACAATGATGAATCTAATAAATAAGACAGTAAATACCTTCAAGTACGAATTTACAACAATATAATTGTATCTACCCAAAGACTTGAATATTTGAATATTTGGTTTATGTCAGGAATCAGTCTTTCAGACTTACTAAATTCATTTCAGTTATTTCCAGTTTGACTCTTGGTGGTATTACAAAGGATTGTCAGGTGGTGTTAAGTTATGGGAACCACGCCCTGACGTCTTTCCTCACGGATTTGGGTAAACATAAAAGTAGTGAACGATGTAGAATATAGAATTCATTACACTGGTTTTTCAAACGGTCGTTATCTCATTTAATCGTCAATAGTTGACTTTTTTGAAATTTAAATTTACAGATATTTCTACAACCACACATATTCCTTATTAGCTCTTCATAATCGATACTGGTGAGATGTTATATTTTATTTATGCTTGAAATTATTGAATAATTCTTAGTAGAAAGTTGTAATAGAAAACGTTTATGATAACATATCACATTTTATTTCAAAATGAAACAAGACAGGGCTTCTTTTATTCATTTATATCATATTTCAATGATAAAGTAAATCAACTTAAATTCGTAATTTCTCAACGATATAAATACATGAATTAATTGCATATTTCTTCCTAATACAATTGTAATTACAATGGAAAGGTCTAAAGACACAACTTATGCTAAACAGAATGGTGGTCACTACGATTTTATTGTTGAGAAGTCGGGTGCTTTGCCTATAGACCAGGTATCTTTATACAAAACAAATATTTTCTCATCAAAATGATAAATCTTAAAATTAATTTATATACTTTATTTGTCATTGGACTCTAATTCAAATGTTAAACATTTGTTGCATTTGTAACACAATAACTTTAGAAAAATCTTCATTAATTAAGAATATTTTCTTTTGACAGTAATATTTTAATATAAAGATTCTTTAATGGTTTATACGTAATTTAATATTAATTGATATTAAGGCATGAAATGAAGTGATGAAATGAAGTCATAAGATAGATATGATCTAGAATATCTCAAAATATTTCTTTATGATGTTAAAACATTTTCCTGATAGGTGAAGGTTTTTTTTTCATCCTCGTTGCCTTGTCATTTTTTCCAGAAATTCTGGAACGATCTTTTGAATAAGACTTTAACGTGGGGACTTGTAATGTATGAACAGGTAGTATGAAAAATCTTCAATGAGCAAGTTTTTGAATCCCGTCTTGTGCATGTAAAAAACTAGTAATTATTTCATAAATCTGTATTATACAGGATTGGTTAAACGTTCAGTTTAACAGAATAACCGCCCTGAAGACGAACCTGACCTTGGGAGAGATGTGGCTTACACAGATGAACATAGCAGCAAAGGCTAATAATGTCGTCATCCAGTACTGCATGGCAAACCCCCGACATGCTTTACAATCTCTCACCCTCTCACAAGTCACTCAAGTAACAACCATTTATATTGGATAATTTAGTCATAGGTTTAATGATTAGATGTCATTTCTTGATGTTATGTCATGAACCACTTTTCCGATACACGTATTCTTCACCTAAAAAAATACATTTTGAAAATTATTTATGGTAATTTTTTCAACTTTTGTATTTCTTTTGAAGGCACGTGCAAGTGATGACTATTCACCTGGAGGTGAACAATGGCGGATTGGTGTTTCCTCACTTTTTGCTCACGCCCTTGGGATAGCACCATCAAAAGATACATTTTGGACTACAGAAACACAGCCAGGAAATAGATACAGTAAGTTACAGGTACATTTATTCAATCACCAGAAAGGCCAGAGAACATAATTTCAACTAAAACCAACAGAATATTCTTATTCAATATTAGTTTCAGGAGAGTAAACCTTTGGTAGAATAATGTATCCTTTTCTATACGCTTTTCTTACAAATAAGCACGAGTAACATGAGGTATTCATGATTTTTTTGTAATATGAAAAAATTAAAACACAGCAAACTCTGTTATGTGAGATGGTTAATCAAATTTAACAGTTAGGCTCCTATCTTTACTTCTCAACAAAATATTAACTGTTGTAAAGGAGAAAGTTTCAGACGTATTGTGCTACAGCATATTCTAGAAGTGATGTAAATCAAATGTAAATTCTTTAAAAAAAAAACTACAAAGAACTAATCTTAAAACCATTACATCAATGTCTTCAAAACAAATTACTTCTCGACGCTTTATACAACAAATTAAAGAATAGGCTTTTTGACATCAGGACAACTGCTTCGTCAATAAAAATGGAACCCGTGAATTTTCTTATCTTGATTGTGATTGATCATCTACAAAATTGCTTTGTTAAAAATCATTATGATTCTACACTCTGTACTCTGAAGTTCATTTAAAAGATGCTGGTCTTTAGAGACAACAATCTGATGGAATTCCACTGGGGATTTATTGAGATTTTTTACTAGCCGACCTGTTGTTATATTCGTATGAAGCATAATTTATTCAAAAAACGTCTACACGAGAAGAAAGCTCTTGCTTTGGCCTTCAACTCAATACCTATCAATTAACAATATGTCAATTCGATATATGTCAGTGAACTTGAAATAAAAGACACTACTGAGTCTGCCACATCTATTTTATATATGGATGTTTTACTGACTACAGACGACAAACGGGAGGGCTTCAACTTTTCCATCATTACCTTCCCTAATTTATGTCTTGATATTCCAACATTACCTGCAAATGGTGTTCATATCTCCCAACTGGTTCGATACGCACGAGCATTCTCTGAGTATGATCAAATTTTAAAGCGAGAGAAGCTACTGACAAATAAGTTGATGTGTTTACCTGTTTCATACCATTTGTTAGGTCATTGCTTTTAAACAAAATTAGACTACGGAGTACTTCGTATACCCAATCAACATTTAGGGCTCACGGCGGGTGTGGCAAGTCGATATGGGATGCTTACTCTTCTTAGGCACCTGATCCTATCTCTGGGTTTCCAGAAGTTCATATTTTTGTCCTGTTCACGATTCGTTTTGTCTACTGTATCTATGAGATTGATCACTGTTCGTTATCTTCACCTTTTACGTATGGTCACTCTATTTTCATTTTAATTTGACTCAATGTTAAATGGAGATAAAATTATCTTAGGTATCGTGTATATTTTTGACACAGCTATCAGTATACTTAAATTAGCAAACAAGTCACTTTAATTCCTTTACGCTTATACTTTATCACAAGATTGATTAGTTTTACTAGGGTAATATTTTATATATAAGGTTTTGAAATGTGACGCCTCTTTTTAAATATTGCAGAAAAGTCGGAGCCCTACACACGCCTGAATGCTCTGGTGGCTACACTTTCCACTGGTCCTTTTGGTCCAAGTGATATGTCAGGTCACATGGATTTTGATCTGATTAATAAGTGAGAAAACTTCACCAAAATATGTTCTTAATCCTTCTGAAAATTACCCACAGAGAGTTAGCTAAAATTTTACATCCACATTTCAGGACATGTATATATTATGGTCAACTGATGCAACCAACGAAGCCAGCTACTGCTATGGATGTTCAATTCATAAAGGTTTTTTATATTGCTTTCAGAATACTTTCATATTCCTAGTTTAGGAATTTGGCTATCTAATCCTTTGGGGTTTTTAGTATGTAAATAAAAATGGATATCCTTTTTTAGCTATTTAAACTTACATGCAATAAATATGCAGTTTATGTGAAATCATTCATTTGAAAAATTCTTTTCTAGTAACATATAAAGTCGTTGCAATTTTTTGAGCAGAAAAAAAATTAAAGAAGAAAGAAAATTAATTAATAATTAATAATTTGATTTGTTTTCCTTAAGGAAGCATTTGAATCGACAAAAATTGAAGTCTGGTCGACTTACAGTGTTAACATGTTAAACGACACAGCCTTGCATTGGGGAACGATACTGGCAGTAGATACAGTCGGGGATGTTGCACTGGAATACAGTGATATGGAATTTCTGGTATGCAGTCTTTTTAATTTTAATGTAAAAAAAAAATTCATGAGCATTCATTTAGTCATGAACAATTTATTTTAGGTTCCAGGAGTGTCATATGCTGTCTATAATTATAATGATCCATCGTCAATTCGAGAATTTAAAGAATCAGAAAAGTTAGTTCTTCCAAATAATTGTACCAAGACTGATTTTTGCCTTTACCATTTTGTTCCAAAAATGAATCATGGGTAAGAACTTTAATACTTCTTTATAAAGTAAAGATAGTGCATATCGTACTATCTAGTGAGTGGGGGAGAATTTCCCGTTTTGTATTGTGTATGTAGTGTAAAAACTTATTTTCAGTAACGTACCGGTATGCCAGTACTTATACAAAAAATGTACATTTATATAACAGTTTATAAAAATTGTAGCCCCCCCCCCCCCAAAAAAAAAAAAAAAAAAAAAAATCAATGCAACGCAGAATTGAAGGCACAAATAATAGAGCAAGGCATCAAATAAGTATTAAACTTAAATTAAATCTCACATGACGTGGTCATGCAAAAGCACTTAATTTAAAATTTGATGCACACCTCGTGTGATTTTATAATACAGTGCAATGCAAGAAAAATTTTCATTAGTCATATATTATTTAAACCCAATACATAAATCGAAAAGTAAATTAGTTTAATTTGAAATACATGTATATTGCAGTGATAATGAGATCTATCTCTTAGGAGATATAAGTAAATGGGTACCAGCATCAAGTGGTAGGATCAGATCCATCGTATATCAAGAGGCGGATCTACTAATAAACTTGTGGGGAGCGGCGGCGGAGGAAATCACGATTCAATATATGCTGAATGGAGAACTAAAATCTGGAACCTGTCCAATTAAAACTACAGGATTTAACTGTATTTCTATGTTGACTGGCAAATGCGTTTATTGAAGTTGAAAATAAAAAAAAATAAGAAAATAATTCACATGTGTGATAGGGTTAGGTACTAGAATTTTATTTCATGATTTTTTAAGTATGATTTCATCGTTGAAAGAATGATACAAGATCTCAATACACGTTTAAGAATTTTTTTTCGTTTTTCTCTGTTTTGCATTCTCCTTTATTTCTTTTTTGCAATTTTCAGAGATACTGTGAAACTGTTTTGGCCACAAAGACACATCAGAGCTTAAAAATGCTGAGAATTATTCATAACATGAATATCTAGTTTAACATGTCAAGAATCATTGATAGACATTTAAAAATTTCTAATGAAAAATTATCTATAAAAACTAAACACACTATTTGTTAATATTTTTTTTCAAATTTATAAATAATTTAACAGAAAAGATGTCAACTTATACAAAACACTTACACAATCTTTTTGAAATATATTAAAGAAAAAATGAAATAATTGCGTTATTTAAGGGGGGGGGGGATGCTGATTAAAAAAAAATAAAGAAAAAAAAATAGAATATTTATCTTTTTCTTTTTTTTTGGTAGGAAACTTTTGTAAGAAATTGTATTAATCATTAATGGTAAATTCATATTAATCATTAATGACTTTCAGGCTTTGATGTGTCATATTTGGTATAGTAAAACATTATTTACATTAAAAAAAAAACACAACAAGACAAAATCCATACAAAAAATATAGAATTTAGGGCTTGTATATAAATATCGCTCTTTCAATTATGAAATCATTTTTCAAAAAATAGTACAATTCTCTTTTCTGCTTGAACTTTCAGTAAGGCGTGATATTCTCGGCGATACATAATTAGCGTCTCTCAAATGGTGACCTAGATTCTCATTGGTTAAGAAATTAATAACTTAAGCAACTTTGGATTGTTGTTAACAAACGATGAGATGACATAAGCCACACCTCTTTACTGTAAGAAAATGATGTAATTGGTTCCTTGCGTCACTTGTTGACGTCTGACTCATTTTTACCCCATGTGTATTTCACCCGTGAATGAAAAGCTGAGTAAATTTCAGTATTGATGGGCTAATCTGGCAACCAATGAGAATCTAGGTCACTATTTGAGAGACGCTAATGTTGTATAGCCGAGAATGTTACGCCTTACTGAAAGTTCAAACAGAAAAGAGAATTGTACTAATGTCAATATTGCATACCTCCTAAAGGACCTATACTAAATTTTGGATTTCAACGCTTCAGCCCCCGGGATGGACAAAGTAAGTCATATATTGAAAATAAAAGGCATGATATCGGCTTTTGGAAAAGGCGTAATGACGCCTTTTGGAAAAGGCGTAATGACGCCTCTTGAAAAAGCGTAATAACGCCTATTAGAAAAGCGTAAAATACATCATCTACAATTTAGATTTTTATTCCTTAAAAATACATGAAATACATGTATATAGAATATATTAGATGAAAATATGTGAACATATAAATACATCAACACACAAAACCATTCATTCTGGCCAAGAATCTGTTTGATGATTGTGTAATTCCATTTTATTTTATGGTTAGAATTGTACGATAGCCATAAATTGCCAGAATGAAAAATCAATTTTTTATCCTACCAACGTCACTTAATTCATTGAAATATAAAAGAACTGTATTTAAGGAAATTTTTGGACTTAAAGCTAATTCAAAAATACATATGTAGATAACGAAAATTATTTAAGCCCAAAAGTCCATTCAAACAATAATTCAGGAGCAGAGCAAACATGGACTTCTAAAATATCAGAGGTGGGATCAGGTGCCATGGAGGAGTGAGCATCCCCTGCCGACCCGTCACATTCGCCGTGTGCTTCTTCGCATGATTGGGGAAAACGAAAAAAAAAACCCACAGACAGTTCAGTGTGTAATTGTTGGCCTAAATATTAGTATGAAAAACGTCAGAAGGCATTTTACTTATGATAGATTGTATTTGCTAACAAGGTCATTGAATCAACCATAGAACTTGCAAAATGACGACTTTAAACGAGCGTTTATCTTAAAGCTTGGTTGTTAATTTATTAGGAGTCTAGAGTCTTTTTCTAGTTAAATATCCAAATATGAAATAGATGTGTCAGACTCCGTGGTATCTTTTATTTCAAGCTCACTGAGATATATTGAGTCGACATATGAATGAAATAGTAGCTATTGTTAATTGATATATCTATATATATATATATATATATATATATATATATAAAATTTTATATGATTTTTTTTTTTGGACATCTATAAGTGAACACCTACCATTTTAATTGACGCCCGATATGAATCTACCTGAGCACGTTAAAAAATGAGCTGATATCACCATGAAAGGAATATGCGGTCAACAAATGAAATCTTAATTTTGATTTAATATATTCTATGAAAATAAAAAATGTAAAAATACGGACAATAAAATAATCCTTTCAAATGCAGTTTTGTGTTCAGAAAATCCTCCCGAATCCTGCTTATAACTTGCCGATTCTGTTGTAAAATTACTTGTATGGCAGATTGATCCCGTGTAATATCCAGCAGACGCACAGTTTTTCAACATCGGTAATTTTGAAGGCAAGGAAAGTACCATCCAGTCAGTGTCATTTACCTGGTTACAGGATGTGACGTAATTTGCGTCAACTTCTACACAGCTTCTGTAGACTACTGATGCCGTAAAATTTGCATCTACATGTACATGTTAATAAAGTAAAACTTAGTAACAAATTCTTTGGATATAATGATAAAGGCTCTTTGAGTGTTTTTAAATGAAGTAAAGTTTTCATTCTTATTTCAATCAATATCTTTACACTTGTATCATGAATAAAAAAAAAATTAAAAGATACCTAAATTAGATGATGCCAAAACGAAAACAAAATCTCCTTCATATACGACACATGCTGGAATTTTCCCTTGGGTGCTAGAAGGACAGGTAGATATGTGGGAATTCGCATCCTCGGCCCCAGCTCGACATTCTGGAGTTGTGCTATAAGGATCTATAGATTCGGTTACTGCTCGATTTATGTTTGTGTCATGGATTTCAGACAAATCAGAGTTGTACACAAATACGCAATTTAGGCAAGAAATGGAGGAACCTGTCACCCAAAAAATGATAATTTGAATTTTTTACAATTGACATTATAAAAGATTTTTAAAATCAATAATTGCAGAGTATTTTCAATTAAAATGAATAATAAAATACCTCGGACCTGCTCCAAAAGTACCACGACTAGATATGTTATATGTACATGTACAATATCCATCACAATCTTTAGAATGCAAATCTCAAATAAACATGTTTTTTAACGTTTTAAGTATATTGCTTCTTGATGAGAATTCCCCGAACAAAATTGATCAAAAGGGGTCATTGATAAAGTTTAATAAGATTGATTTTCTATTTCAATCTAGCAGTAAATTTAGTTGTTTACAGAGGAATATGAGTTTTTTAACCTCTAGTTAAAAGCGGTATATGTTCTCGACATTATCAGAAGGATTATTAGAATATCGACAATATGAGTCTGAAATCGACCATGGAAGATTAATATGTTAATTTCCAGTTGATGAAATCAACATTCTAGTTAAGCATGTTGTTTTGGTTTCATCTTTTATCATTTAAATTCATTTAATATAGCTATCATTATAAGAAAATTAATCAATTTCATAACTTCGATTTTTTTGTTTGTTTTTTAATTTTCCATTTCAGTTTATATATATATATATATATATATATATATATATATATATATATATATATATATATATATATATAAATACAATATCCTATTTTTAGAGTTGTTAGATACATTGTATCAGATAATTAGGGAATAATTTTGTACGTACGTTAAAAGAGGTTCGAATATACTGTTCTTCGTTCTCGATCATACTGTAAATGATATAAACTGTGTACTGAACTGTCTAGAGCTAATAAAGTTACGTAAAACGTAAGATTACAACTAAAGTAGTCGTTTTTTATACTACAAATACCGACTCCAACAAAAAATATCACAAAAATTACAATCAGTTTTTTTCCCATCAGTTTTAATTCATCATCAGATTTGTCAGAGTTCCTCTGTGGTCTGCCATCTCGACTTGACTCTTTACAGTCAGAATGAGATCACATGTTTTCAATATTCCAAGGTCCGATAGGTCTTCACATCTTCACATTAATTAAAGTGACTGATTATTTTGATTGTTTGATCATCGATTTACAGTAGTCGCGGATACAAATTATTAGCTTGTTTTTATTGGTACTCTGGTATTTGTCATTTACAGAAACATAGTGTTATTTATGTAAAATGTTTGATACTTTTGCAAGCTAGACATAGTGTCATCAATATGTTGAAATGAAGGAAATTTCATTTTTTTAAACATCCCATATCATGTCTATTTCGATTTTTTTTAAAATTATTTTTCTGTGGTGTATAAAATATTATTGATCGGTTGTTATTTCTCTTTTACGATACTGGATCTTTATGAGGAAATGATGAGACGATTTCGTGAAATCATATATATTTCCTACATCAATACAAATTCTAAAATAAAATCACACATATTAGAGAGAATATCGTACTCCTATACATATATGTACAGTGTATACTACTGAGTACCACTAGAAAGAAAATGCGCTATACCCAAGAAAGCCAGTGACAAATGATGACGAGAGAGTTAATCTGAACGATGAAAAAGCTAGAAAAAATCTGTAAAAAGGTTAAACATGAAGTGTTTAAGGGCATTAATGTAGTGCTAAGATATATTACAAATCAATCTCCTCCTCCCCCCCCCCCCTCCCCCTTTCGGGCAAGTGATCTCAAACTTTGACTTAATCGTCCGAAATCAATTTTCATAAAACAAATTGACCAAATAATTTTATCAATTTGTTTTATGAAAATTCAATTGTATTGTTTTGATTTAAAAATACTAACTTAACCAGATAATACACAGGTAACACTATAGTAGCGACTGTCCGAAACCAATATTTTCTCAATGGGCACTTTAACAGCGGTGTGAATACATTTTAATAACCTTGTTTATTTATTTATTTATTTATTTATTTATTTGATATATATATCTTAACAGTGATCAATTTTATAGCAGAATCTACAAGGATGTTTTCGGATTTTTTTTTTTCAAAATCCATACGTCTCCGGGCAATTTACACAAATAAACACAGTCTTACATCCTTGACATTACTTAATTCAGTGAAGGAATATTTATCCAACTTTTCGTATAAGCGTTTCAAACTGAAGGGGTGTTAACATCAAAGTAAGGCTCTTCTCTGATCTGAGATGGGGCGTACTGTTATAATTATAGGTGTCGTGATAATTTTCATCTTAATTATCATTGGAAGTGCAGTAATTGGAAACGGATTTAGTACCGTGGAATATTATGAGGTATAGAACTTTTTTCTTTTATTGCTGTGCAATAAACGATTATGTCATGCTACATCTGATATTTGTCTTGATTGTTTTTAATTTTTTTTTTTACAGTGTACAGAATCTGAATTTATAGTGCGTTTTAATTCTATTTTTATAGAACTGAAGTTATTTTTTTTTCTGCAAAGGATGTAACTCATTAGCTATTACATGTAAATATCAAATTAATGTAATAATTCTTGTTTAAGTTTTTATTGTTGGTTTTTCCTTTAATGATGATGTCATGTCTATTTACAGCAGGTGTCACATTCATGCCGAACCAGGATGTGGTTATTTTTTATTGTTTTATTGAATACACACAAATAAATAGTTAATTTGTTAGAGAGTTGACTGAATAATGATAAAATGGTGAAGAGAACGAACAGTGATCGATCTTATAATAAAAACCAAAACAATACAAAACTGTGAATGGGGCATAAACACGGACCCCTGGAAATACCAGAGGTCGGATCAGGTAATATGTTTATTTGTTTGTGAGTAGCTTGTTGTGCAAAATGTTGGAGTTGATTTTAGTACTAAAATATTAACGTGGACCCGTTGATAATTTGTAAGTTATTGGGGGAGAATTTGTGTTTGTGGGAGAGATAAAACAATTGAACAACAAGAGGAGACAAAACCTAATCATTTAAAATGGAATTTTTTTTGGAACTACATGTAATTTCAATCTCAACTGTGGTCAAAGGTAGATGAATCAAGACCCTTTTTCTAATAAAGTGAGAGTTAATCAATTACTCATCACTCTAGGTGGAATACAATATCGATAACACACTCAAAATTGAAACAAGCGGGGAAAAATGTTTAAACTAGATATAATCTTTGATTTCTAATTACGATAGATTCAATATAACACTATATACTAGTACTAGTAATTATCAATAATATTGACTTTGTTAGCAAATATATCCTATCATTGTATTTTGACTAAATTTGACTACGGAATATTTTACCTGATCAATAAAAAGGACTCACCTGTGACCTGTCGACAGGGGATGCTTACTCCACCTAGGCATCTGATTCCACCTACCTCTGGAATTTCCAGGGTCCGTATTTAATGCCCTATTCCTAGATTTATGTTGTATGTGGGTATTTCTGAAATCGATCACTGTTCATTATCTTCACCTTTTTCATTTAATTGTAGTGATTTTTCTTGGTAAAAATCTTTTCTTGATAAAAATTTATTTTATTTGATGAAACTAAGTATATGTATTTGCATGTGCTCAAAAATTATTTATAGCCTGTTTATATGCTGCTATTTCCTTTTTGGTGAGCAATACTGATTTAAAATCCCAATTAAAGCGCCTAAAAATGTTTATCTGCATTCTATATGTTTGATCTAAAAGATCGATAGAGATTTGTATTGGAATTAGTCGAAGAAATGGAGTATACATTAAAAATATCGGTATTTTAGGGAATTACTGAGGGTGTTGATGTACATTCAAGAACAATGTACATTCCTAAACTCTAGGGCATTTAAGCGGGAGAAAAATTGGTTTCCTGTAAAAATTCAATGAATATTTTTGCGGATTCTTTTTCAGAGATAATTTTAAATTATTTTCTTTAATCTATCAGGTCAGCAAAAATTGACTAATGGTCAACATATTTTTAACTAAGTTTCCAATTCTGACGGAAGTTTAAATGGTATATATTGCGCCCCATTATTAGCAGACCTAGTTTTGTATTCATGTGAAGCAGAATTTGTTTAAAATCTTGTACGTAAAAAAAAGAAAGCACTTGCTGTGGCCTTCAACTCGACTTTTAGATATATTGACAACGTACTGTTATTTCCATTCGTATGTCGATACGATATATCCCAGTGAGCTTGAAATAAAAGATACCACAGAGTCTGACACATCTGTTTCATATTTGGATATATTTATCTAGAAAAAGACGTTATTGGTAATCTAACAACTAAGCTTTATGATCAACGTGATGACTTTAACTTTTCAATCCTCAACTTCCCTTACTTATGCAGCATGACAAGGAGTAAACAGCAGGTGTGCCCGGTCGGCAGGGGATGCTCATTCCTCCATGGCACCTGATCCCACATCTCATGTTTTAGAGGTCCGTGTTTGCTCTGCTCCAAAATTTGTACTGTTTAATGGACTTTTGAGCTTGAATACTGTTCGTTATCTCCATACATTTCATTAGAAAACTCGCTAACACATATTTATACAGGTTAATACAGGTACTTATTCAATAATAATTAAAACAAGGGAATTGATTGATTGATTGATTGTATATTGTTTAACGTCCCATTCGAGAATTTTTCATCGAGGAAAAAGGCGTACATCTGTGTAGAGTTTGAATACAGAATCCATACATTACGAAAATCTTATGTTGCTTTTTTAGATGCTTTCTGAAACACTATAAAGCTCGTATACCCATTGATTTTTTTTTTAAATTGAAAATAAACTGAATTAAAATTAACTGCATATATTCTGCTTAATATCATTGGGCAGGGGGTATCAGATATAGTCTGACTAATAAAAAAGGTAATATGTATAATTGACTTAAAAGTCCATAGCCTATTTAGAATTCCAAAAAAAATGTTCTAAAAAAGTTCCGCTAAAATGTCCCCAAATCTTCCGCTAAAAGGTTCACAAATGTCCCGCTAAAAGGTCAATTTCTTTGATTAAAATGTCAATCCGATCAAATGTCCCTGTCGGTAAGTATTGATTCTTTCAAAATAAGTATAAATTACAAATTATAATTTGATTTTTCTATCAATTACATGTTGATAGTGCATTCCGGTTGTATATTAAAAATGCGACAAACATTTCTTCACATAAAAAGGTCCTAACACAGATTTAACCTCTTTTTCAGAAATGATCGAAATCGAGGATCCCTGACTTTAATTAGCACTTTTCATTTTTTCACTTTAAGTATTTCTTTTAATTTTCTCATTTATGTGTAATAAGAATTTAGCATTTTATGTCTTCTTTACCAGATACTAGTAACCATTTTTTTCTTTTTTTTTTACTTACAATACTGTAGCCTTGAATTTACTTTTAGAAAAACGTCATCTATCAAATTTTATTATTAGTTAACTTATCATTACATAATTTTCTATCAGCAAACATTCAACAATTCTTACAGATTTATATATAATAGAGAACAGTGAATTTTGGCAAATTTCGACAGTGCTTATTTACTTTGTGTAGATACTGTATTTTTGACAATTTTCAATACAACACTGTACAAACACATTATTAAATATGTTTAATTTGTTGTTTTTTTTTAAAATCATTTTTATCCTATTATAGTAAACAAGTTCCATTACTCATTGTAGTTTGGCTTTAAACGACAAAAGTCAACCGGAAAAGTGGACAAAACTAACATCTACAGTTCTATCCTCTACTTTGGTGGACCTGACATGGAATTCAAAACATTTCCGGCGGACGCTCATCACGTAACATTAAAAAATGCCAAAATATTTACAGCAGATAAACTTGAGGTCAATACAGCTTCTGAGAACATTGTGTAGAACTTGTTTATTCATGTCTGTATCAGACAATGCATCGTCACGATCAAACGGTTTTCGTGTTTCTTGTGTATTAGAGTATATGAGCGCAATACTTTAATTAGCTTCACGATTTTAAATTTTACATTACATTTTTTTTTTACATTTTTCAACTATTTAAGCATTTAAAAGAGTAAGCAAAAAATTCTACATATCCTTCATACAAACTTTTTTCCTTTAACATTTATTCTCTAATTAACTGTATACCAAATGAAGTCGCGTTTGGCACATATCAAATTGAATAAATTAGAAGAATTTATTATTTTTTAGTAAATTTATATATTGAACACGTAAAATATCGCAAAAATTTCGGAAACCTGAAAAAAACTAGTAGTCGTGACGTCATGTACGCGCAAAGTGACGAGCATTTGCTGAGTGCCTCACAAAAACGCACATAACGATACATTTATCACGACAGATTTTATATATACTGTGGTACATTTGTTTACTGTAGATTTTCTCTAGAAAAATACTCGAATATATCAAAAAATAAAATTTAATACAGGAGTCAAGTTTTGACCCAATCAAACTTAAAGGAAATGGACTCTTTAAAAGGTTCTTAAAGCCTTGTTTGTATAGCAAAATAACCACATATTTTTGAGAAGAAAAGTTCCTCAAACAGAAGGAATGAATCTGCACTAAGAGATAATTCAGAAATTAATAAAAAAAAAAAATCACCATGTTTTCTAGACAAAAAAAGGTAGCTGTGATTTGTCTCACATTTTGCCCAGTTTTGTATTGTCTAATCACTTCGCTAATATTATCAAAAATACTTTTGCCATATCATATGTCATCATTGCAGAAAATTTTAATGCCCCTGAAGACTTTACTCTATTTGGACATGACTTTGCTATTGTCTCAACCAAACTTGAACCTTTAAAATATTTGAAATAAGAATTAAACTTCTTTTATTTTGCCTGACTAATAAAAACTTACTTCTGGCAGTTTACATCTACAGGTCAGAATAACAGCTTATTTACAATATTTCATCCGAAAAGATGAGCTAGTTTTGCTGCACGACAAATTTGACTTGGGTTATAAAAGTGTCATGGAGACCAGTGCCTTAGACGCCCTAAAGGTTTGTTATCAAAGCTAAGATATTCATAAAAGCTACTGTATTATTTTTTTTTTTTTTTTTTTTTTTGTTGAGTTCAGTCAATTTGCTTTAGACTTATTGCGAATCCTGTTTCTTCTGCTATGAAGAAGTGACATTTAAACATAATGTTAAGCAACATACAAATTATTAGAACTTTTTCATGGCTATGCCCGTCATAAAAAAGAAACTGAAAATTAACAAAAATATGTTTGTAAACTTGCGAAAACTTTTATGAATATGTAGCATAATACATGGAAAAATCTGTATCACACCCCAAATCAACCGGAGACTCCGATATCAGCCCGGGGGCTGAAGGTTGATATTGGTCGAGGGTTGATACAGGGTGTGATACATATTTTGACATGTTATATATTTGAAAATATAGTGACCACATTTCAAAATTTATGCATTTTTTATAATTAAACGTGTTTTGAGTTCCTGTTTCTCATAAATTCATCCAAAGTAAATGAAATGTTCCTTTAAAAAAATAAAACAATTACATTTTTTAAATGATAAAGGATATTAAATGAAATTATTATATATTTGTTATATAATAAAGGATTTTTGAATCCCTGATCAACATCAGCACAGGCACGCCCCCTATATTACACACCCTGTATTAGCACCCTTTATAACACCCTTTATTACACCTTTTACCTCTTTTTATTCAGACTACCTCGGATCATTTACTATGTTGTTTATGAAGTTTATTTTAATTGCAATTTTCATTTTATTTAAATTGTAATTGTCAACCCTCGACCAATATAAGCCCTCAGACCTTTGGCCTACAGACTGATATTGGAGTCTGATATGGGGCGTGATACAGATTTTGCCATATATTATTCTCTATTAAGCTGTTGACAATAAGAAAAGATCTGAGGTTCAAACGATAGATCAAGTTGATCCGGAAAGGTGTGATAGTGATAAAGGGTGAAATAAAGGGTGACGATAAGGGTGTGCAATAAAGGGTACGTGCCTGTGTTCATATCAGAGGTGCAAAAATTCTATAAAAAATATATAATGAAACAAAAGATATACATCGATAAAAAGATTATATTAACACTCTTAAATATACGTAGCACTGAATTTATAAAAACAGGGTTCAACAACACTATATACCACAAGAGAGCTGGTAACTAACAGAAAGCTGATGGAACAAACTATCTACAAAGCTGTGAGAGAACGCTTAGGGGGCACCTGTTGTAGGCCGGACTGTACTTCGTATGCCTATGGTAGGATAATAAATCTAGCATCCCTCCTCATAAATGGCTGTTAAATATTGATAAAGATGTAAAGTTAACGATGTGTCAAGAGAATCAGAAGTCACAAAGCGTTACAAGGACATGTAAACAAAGTTCTAAAATATATAAAATATAATATGTCAATACGTTTAAAATCTGGAACCTCTTCAGTTTCCGCCCAATGGTACCTTTATTTTAATAATTTTCATTTTTTGACAATTGGTTCTTTAATTTTTGAATAGCTTTAATCTGACCAAACTTTATTTGAGTGTGTTGTGGCTAGGGTTAACATTTAATGTAGAGGCGTATATGTGAATACATTTCTACTTTACATATTCACTTTCTTTCTTTTTTTTTCTTTTATCTGACCAAAACAAAAACAAAACAATCCTTGTGATTTTGATGTTTCAGCTTGTCCAGAAAATTGTAAACCATATGTTCACTGCACTGCTAAAGAAAAGGGACTCTTTGTCGATGTAAAATACTTCCAACTTGGACAAGTGACAATACCGCATAGTGTACAAGAACGCTTTATGAAAGCTCTTACGTTACAAGAGCAATCGGATCGCGAGGTGCTTTTACAAGAGGCCAAAGTTATCCGTAAAAACACTACAGCTATGGTAAATATTTTGTTAATGATTAAAAATAAGTTTTTGTAGAAACGTACTCACAAAAACATAACAGATCTGTTGAATTTGGGAAGTTTCATTTTTGCTCAATAACTTATCTTCTGTCTTTTTTTTTATTCAAATGACCTCTTTTATGCACATTGAAATAATTTGTTAGTAAAGCTATGTTTATATCGAAATCTTTCTAGCAAGGATATCAGATAATTTTTTTTTCAAATATGACTTGTTAAACCGTATTTAACGTGCTTTAGTTACATAAATAAAATATTTTTTATTACTCAAATAATTTATTGCATATTTTAGATTTTTCATGATATCAAACAATCATTCCTTTTAAATACATGTATTTATTAATCAATTAACTTTTTGGTTTCAGGTTAAAAAAATTAAGAACAAAGCTGCAGAATTTCTGAAAAATGGGACGGCTGTTGCAAATTTAATATCAGCCGTGGCAAGATCCAACTACACGACTGCATTAGAGACAGCACGTGTTAAGGGACTTAAATATATCTTCAATGAATTAGGATTGTCACAGCAAGAACAAAAGAACAGTGTTAACTATTTACGAACATTACGGGGACACCAAAAAGCTCGCTTTACTGTCGATTTTCAACAAAGAATTGCAGGAAATCTTTAACAACTAAAAAAACAATAGAGAAAGTGTTCTGTAGAAATCTGATTTACTTACATATAGTTCCCCGTTTGAAGCAATTTGCTGCATGGAATATCATGACTATTACCTTGTGTGTGTATTCTTCAGTTTAGTATTCGCTAAAGCTAAGGTTGAGCTTTGAATGTGGTTGAATGTTTTACGTAAGGATTATTATATCTATTTATCTTTTTACCTCACCTGAGCTGAAAGCTCAAGTGAGCTTTTCTGATCACCCATTGTCCGTCGTCCGTCCGTCTGTAAACTTTTCACATTTTCAACTTCTTCTCAAGAACCACTGGGCCAATTTTAACCAAATTTGTACAAAGCATCCTTGTGTGAAGGGAAATTTAAATAGTTAAAATGAAGGACCAAGCCCCATTCCAAGGGGAGATAATCAAGAAAAGACAAAAATAGGGTGGGGTCATTAAAAAATCTTCTTCTCAAGAACCATTGGGCCAGAAAAGCTGGAACTTACGTGAAAGCATGCTTGGGTAGTGTAGATTCTAATTGTTCAAATCATGAACCCCCTGGGGTAGGGTGGGGCCACAATAGGAAATCCAAGATTTACAGTGAAATATGTAGTAAAAAATCTCTAAAAATCTTCTTTTCAAGAACCACTGGGCCAGAAAAGCTGAAACTTAAATGGAAGCATGCTGGGGTAGTGTAGATTCTAAATTGATTAAATCAAGACCCCTGGGGCTAGGGCAAGGCCACAATAGGGAATCCAAGTTTTACATTGAAATATAAAGTAAAAATCTGTAAAAATCTTCTTCTCAAGAACCACTTGGCCAGAAAGGCTGAAACTTATGTGGAATCATGCTTGGGTAGTGTAGATTCTAAATTTTTCAAATAATGACCCCGGGGATAGGGCGGCGCCACAATATTGAATCCAAGTTTTACATTGAAATATGTAGAAAAAATCTTTAAAATAAAGCTTCTTCTTAAGATCCACTGGGCCAGAAAAGCTGAAACTTAAGTGAAAGCATCCTGGGGTAGTGTAGATTCTAAATTATTTCAATCATGACCCCTGGGAGTAGGGCGGGGCCACAGTAGGGAATCCAATTTTCACATTGAAATATATAGAAAAAATCTTTAAAAATCTTCTCAAGAACCACTGGGCCAGAAAAGCTGAAACTTAACTGGAAGCATCCTGGGGTAGTGTAGATTCTAAATTGTTCAAATCATGACCCCCGGGGGCTAGGGCGGGGCCACAAGTACTTCAAGGGGTGAATCAGGTGAAAAACAGCAAGGCCAAAGTTACTCAGGTGAGTGTTGTGGCCCATGGACCTCTTGTTTTCTTCTTTTTTGTCCTCTTTAACTTTCATTTTCTGATTATATATATATCATATACATGTACTTGTACTTCTGACCTAACTTTATATGCTGTAAATATTTTTCATTGTCCTCATGCACCATATATTTACATGGTTTTGAGTGAATAAATGAACTTGAACTTGATACAGTTTATACAGGGAAAGACTCTTTAAAAATGTTCTTCTCAAGAATAGGAGGGTTAAAAACTTGTGAAATTAATATGCAGACAGACATTCCAATATTGTTGACTTAAAAGTTTCTTAAGTCGTTGCCTCTGGGTTTTAATAAAGAATCAATGTTTTATAGAGGGGTTGAGATAAGGAAAATATACAAATCTTCTTTTCAGAAAAAAACTGGGATACTTTTTTTTCTTTTTAATATGCAACCATCTCCATGTATTTTACGTATAATTAAGGAAATTCCACCCTCCTGTGATGTCATAGATTTAGCAAAAAATGTTATTATTTAATTTCATACCCAATAGAATAATATCTTTCGAAAGAATGTTTTCAATGGGTGTAATGAAAAATATTGTACAGTAAAAGATTTTTTAAAAAAAATGAATATTTTCCTTATTCACTCAATTATTTAATTAATCCTTAAAAAATGTTGCTAAGGGCAGTAATTCCTGCTGATGTACATGTATCTTCATATAAGCATTTTCTATATTGTTTTCCTGATATTCGCAATTCAAACATATTTATAAAGTAACAATTATTTTGGAACTTTCAGCATCAGAATTATGTATTTGAAAAAAAATTTACATATTTTTTATAATATACTGTTTCCTAAAATGTGCAATTTTTTATGCTGACATATACTTCTTGTTTATTTATGTCTAACGTCTTAAAAAATATGGCAACCTAAACATTTTTGGTGATTATTAATTTAAACTATATTCAGTGAAAATAAATGCAGTTTTTCTATTTAAACCCATAAATTTGAGAGGATGCAAATACCTTAGGTGGCAGAGGATAGAACAGTGGGACGGACAACTTCGGAATGGACATTTTTCCGAACTTGCGCACCCTTTTCCTTTAAAGCTATTATCTTAGGATTTTTTTTAAATGGTGGGGTTTTTATATTTAAACTGATTTATGAAATAAAAAATCCAACATTTTTAGCTAGTTTTTGAGATATTAAGTGGCAAAGATAAAAATCCCATGGGGAAACATGTACTTAAAATTACCCCATAAAAAACCCCACAAAAACCCCATGGGGTTTAAAATTTTCCCCATGGGGAAAATTTACCCATACAATTCAGTGTGGGGTTTTTTAACCCATGTGTTGCTTATATTGTAATGTGGGTTTTTTTCCCCCACATTTCTTCATCAAGGGGTTAAAAAACCCATATATCAATATTTATTTTCTCTAAGATAATTCCTAAAGACTGTCTTTTTAAATGCATCATTTTCTTCTTTGTCTTTCTATAATAGTTAATAGTTATTACAAATATATATTTTCATTCATTTGTGTATTTATTCCTTAATTTCATGGGAACGTGTTTAAAAAAGTTTCATATGAAATAGTCAAGAAAATAGTTAACTCTTTTTAATCATTTCTAGCTGTTGGCAAATTTTCATCCCCACTCCCCTTACATCCACCACTCATAAGTTTGGATCATGGTCATCCATTTCTAGTAAGCTAAATGTTTTATATCTAAACCTAAACAGTTATATACCCTGAAATAAAATATAAAAATCCTTTGATCCACCACATATATTTAAAATTTTTAATGTCCACTCCCCTTGGATCCACCATTCATAAGTTTGGATCTTGTTCACACATGACTTTGAAGTCAATTAGACATAATTATTAAAGAAAAAGAAATTATCCCAAGATCCACCTACCAATATTTTGGATCCCAGTCACTCATTAAAAATATTCATATTGATTTAAAGTCTTGATATTTGACGTTACATTTAAAATAAATAATCAATAAATATCTTCAAAATCTTGAATCCCATTCCCTTTGGATCCACCATCAATTTCTGGATCTTGATCATCTATTAAACTTGCCTCGGGTAAGACAGAAACCTAATATAAATTACACCCCTCCCCTAATATTCACCTCATAAAATACTGATCAGAGTCAATCATGCAACTGTACAATAAACAAAGTGTTTTACAGTTTAATTTAAAATGCTCACAACCTAATGTACTATATTATCAACAAATTGTACATACATGTGTCAAAAATAAACCAAATATTTTTTGTCATGTTCCATTCAGGTATATACAGGCCTAAATAAAGTTATATAGGTCCCCATTCAACTTGCCAGGATTTATCAGTCTAGTCGAACCCCCGAACGGGGGTATACCCCCAAACGAGGGTTTTCCGTCCCGTCATGCAATGCGCAAGAACAGTAACTCTTGCCGTATCCAATATAAACGAACTTGCCTATATATCATTTATCTAAGGAAAAAGATCGATAATAATGTTATTTCTGCTATGAAATTGGTAAAATTTCAACAGAAAAAAATTAACAGTTTAAGTTTTCCATAGTTTGAATTTATACTGTAGGAATAACGAAATATTTTCCGTCATTTCATGAAATTATTTATCATTTTGTAGGACGTCTCAATTAAGATTGTGGAATTTAAAACACAAGGAAAAATATTCTAAGAATGAGGAAAATATTCATTCAGAACCTAGATTTAAATAAAATAAAATACAATCGTGTTTTCTCAAACAATCATATTTATTAATATAAAAAAAACAAACAAACTACAACAACATGTTGCCAAACATTTTATTTAATTCTTATAAGATATAAAAGACAATAAATACGATAGATTTCATTTGAATTTTATTTTTATATGTATTTTTGTTCCACTTCCTGGGCATGATTATCGATAATAAAGACCGTTGATTGCTAGTCAGAGGAAACGCGGACTGAAACCCACGATCATAAACAATTCGATATTAGCACCATTTTTTCTTGCATTTTATTATGAAAAATAAAAGATATAATGTAGAATAATACATTTTTTATATAATTTCAATTTAGTATTAGTTGCTTATGTCTGTTTATCGAATGTTTTATCTTAAATACCTGCATGTCAAGGAGCAAAAGATCGCCAACTTTGCCAGTGAATAAATCCCGATTTGTACAATAAAGTTGTATTTTTGTAAAATACAAACTCTAAAAACACCTTTAATCTATCATTTCCGAGTGGTTTTACATTTGCCAAATAATCCGTTACTTTGCACCGGCGATTTTTGTAAACCCCTACTTTTTGCGTGAAATACGCACATTTTTAAGCATCTGCGCATGCTCGTACCCCCGTTTGGGGGTATGGATTTCCCATTTCCGTTTACCCCCGTTCGGGGGTTCGACCAGACTGTTTATAGCATGCCAATAACTTACATCAGTTACATGTAAACAAAGTTGCTTGTCTGTAATGACAGCAGAATGGACAGGTCAACTGGTGATGTTAGTGGAGTAATTCACACATGCTAAATCAAATAGATTGATTTAAAACTTGCATGAATTAATCCTTGTTACAATAGACTTCTACGATAGGGATAGCCGACAGGTGATGTTTCTATTCTGTTCATAAAGCGCTCTTCTGACTTGGACCAAGTGTTGACTAAAACATGAACAACACAGAGAAATCTTAAATCGGAATCCAAAGTATTTTTTTCTGGTACCTTTTTTTTTATTTAGAATAATGACAATTATTTAGTACGTTTTTTTACTTATAATATGATACTTGCGAAATCGTTCTCTGTGTTTTTTTTTTTTTTTTTTTTGCCTGATCAGCTAAATAAAACGCAATGAAAGCTACATGCTGAAATGTTATATAAGTGGAAAACCTGGGCGGTCTTGCATGGCTATATAATTATCTGATTATTCAGTAGCTGCGTGGGCTATTACGATGATGTTTTGGGTGACTTTGCTTATAACACGGAATGAAGTCCCACGGAATAAAGAACTGAATTAACACGTTCATAACACAGTTTTATCGTAGCTCTGATTTTACTTCTTAGTTTTATTTGCAATTAATAAGTTTCGAGAAAACAATTATATCGTTTATAGTTAGATCGAAATTTTTCCGTCCCTCCTTTTCCCTCTTTTCCCCTAAAATAAAAGTGATATGTTGTTAATTTGACATAAATGATACATCCAATTTTTTCTATACAAACATCATTTCCTATCAATTAATTACCTTGATTTATTCACGTTTACACGCACGTACCGCATACATGGCTATTTAGCCCAAAGAAGTTAACCACCCCCCCCCCTTTTTTTGATTATCTTTCTTAAATAGATTTTTGCTTTCAGAATCTTTTATTATACGGGGTTGAATCCTCGAGAGCTCCTAATTACATGTAGAACAATTAGCAATTAGCAAACATAACAATATAGAAGGGGTTCGGATATTTTCTAACCTTTTCATATTATCGTAGACTGTGACTATATATATAACAGAAAAACTGGACCCTTTATAGTTCTGGTC